AAATGTCTGCTAACTATTATAGAAAACGATACCCATAAAACGTGGCGTGACAAACTTCCTGAGGTACAAGGGACGAAACCGCTTAGCATTCAATGGATTCACCGTGCGGGTGCCGGGTCCATCGCGTTGCAGGGAGGGGAGCTTCAGCAGTGCCTGGGACTTGCGACCCAGGTGTGGGTTTAAGGGGCCCCTTAACTAACGCGCGTTGTACGCTCACCTCCACTGTCCAAGTTCCTCTCCCTACCTGGCCAAATTTGGAAGGAACCTGCTAGGGCTGCTTTCGACGTACGTTCCGAGAATGAATTAATGTTGGTTCTGGACGGGCCCAAGTCTTTTAGTAGGTTGTAGAGAGATTTGGCTGTTATGCCTCTCGCTCCCACCTCTACCGCGGACGAACCTATTTCGAGTTAGTTCGTTAGTGAGCTCGTAATACTTAATGACCTTGATGGCATGGTCTTTGGGGATGTTGGTTTCCCAAGGCACCGTAGGCTCTATCATCACAACGCGCTTTAAAATACGCGAATATAGAAATATGTCTGGTCTGGAGGCTGACGCACAAATATCCTCGGGGATTTTGTGTTGTTTCTCATACGTATCCATCATGATAGTCCAATCCGAAGCCGCTTTAAGGATAGAGTAAGGCTTGACGTTTGATTTTATAGCCCTGGTGCTCTCTCTCACAAAACCTATTGATCGCTCGTTTGTGGTTATTTCCCTTTGCGCTCTGGCTACCGAAAGACTAACCGCTTCAAGTATGATCTCTAAAACCCTATAGTGACGACGCGAGAATTGACCGCTGTCCAGGAGAACCTTACATCTCACTAGCAAATGCTTAGCAGTTCCAACTGCCTTTCCGCAGATATAGCAAGTGTTTTCGGTACCTTTACCCCATCTTACTAAATTACTCTGATCTGGGAGAGTCATCTAGCACTTAATAACACAAGCCGTAGTGTTACAGGATATACTCCAACAGAACTAATGTTTGGCATTCGCGCGCAATCTTTAGGGATATCATTAATAGCCCAAAATTCAAACGAGCCGAGATTAGATTTAGACAATATCCGGAATAAAACTTCCCTCAACACTGAAAACGCAGATCAAAAGGAAATAGTTAAATTTAGTAAAGGCAAAGCCCAAGTAAAACCTTTTTTTTTTCTTTCTCGGGGAGATTACGTTTTTGTTAAGTGTAGCGAATGTTACCAAACTAAACTGCAAAGAAAGTTTAGGGGACCTTTTATCATAACTAAAATTCTAGACAACGATAGGTACGAACTGAAACATACCGATGAATCTAATTGCACTTTAAAATACTCTCATGAAAACTTGGGCGCAGTACCCAGAGGCTTTGAAGGGTTAGTTGACATATCCACTGAACTAAGTAATGAGGAGGCCGAGACGGCGGGTCATGGAGTGGAGAGAATGGAAACGAAGCTATGTCAGATGATGAAAGTGAGTAGCTGAGTAGCTCTGATGGCCTCCAACATTGATAAACCATAAATGAGTTGTGTAAGTTTGAGTTGGTGTGTTTGAGGTGGCGATGGAACTGGCTGATGCGGCCGATGTTTCTAGTAGTGATGGATCAAAGCGTGCAGGGGCTGGCTCGATGGAGTCCACGTCCGGTCGACGCTTGATCAGGTTGTGAAGATGGATGGGCTAGCTCTGTGGAGTCTATGTCCGGGTCATCGTTCACTCACATGAGTATAAGTAGTGGAGATGATGGGGCTAGCTCATTGGAGTCTCGATCATCGTTCATTCGTTTGGCTGAGTTGTTCTGGATGCTCTGCAGATTGATGTCAGACGAATATTGTCGTCCAGGTCAGAGCCATTTAAGTTGGCTGACTTGTTCTGGTAAGACGAACGTAGTCGTCCGAGTCAGGAGCCATTTAAGTTGGCTGACTTGTTCTGGTAAGACGAATATTGTCGTCCGAGTCAGAGCCATTTAAGTTGGCTGACTTGTTCTGGTAAGACGAATGAAGTCGTCCGAGTCAGAGCCATTTAAGTTGGCTGACTTGTTCTGGTAAGACGAATATTGTCGTCCGAGTCAGGAGCCATTTAAGTTGGCTGACTTGTTCTGGTAAGACGAATGTAGTCGTCCGAGTCAGGAGCCATTTAAGTTGGCTGACTTGTTCTGGTAAGACGAATGTAGTCGTCCGAGTCAGGAGCCATTTAAGTTGGCTGACTTGTTCTGGTAAGACGAACGTAGTCGTCCGAGTCAGGAGCCATTTAAGTTGGCTGACTTGTTCTGGTAAGACGAACGTAGTCGTCCGAGTCAGGAGCCATTTAAGTTGGCTGACTTGTTCTGGTAAGACGAACGTAGTCGTCCGAGTCAGGAGCCATTTAAGTTGGCTGACTTGTTCTGGTAAGACGAACGTAGTCGTCCGAGTCAGGAGCCATTTAAGTTGGCTGACTTGTTCTGGTAAGACGAACGTAGTCGTCCGAGTCAGGAGCCATTTAAGTTGGCTGACTTGTTCTGGTAAGACGAACGTAGTCGTCCGAGTCAGGAGCCATTTAAGTTGGCTGACTTGTTCTGGTAAGACGAACGTAGTCGTCCGAGTTAGAGCCATTTAAGTTGGCTGACTTGTTCTGGTAAGACGAACGTAGTCGTCCGAGTCAGAGCCCTTTAAGTTGGCTGACTTGTTCTGGATGCTTTGAACATTGTGGCAAGACGAATGTAGTCGTCCGGGTCAGAGCCCTTTAAGTTGGTTGACTTGTTCTGGATGCTTTGAACATTGTGGCAAGACGAATGTAGTCGTCCGGGTCAGAGCCCTTTAAGTTGGTTGACTTGTTCTGGATGCTTTGAACATTGTGGTGAGATGAATGTTGTCGTCTGGCTTAATTGCTACGAGATGCTCGCCTTAAGTCTTAAGTACCATAGCACATTTTGATGATTGTAACTAGTCGTTTGTCAGGATGCCGAACGGAATAGACACAACTGTAGTTCATTGATCCGAGAACCGCCCGAGGACGGTCGAATGTCAGTCCGGCCGTGACGGCGCATCCGTCAAAAATCATACGTCAGGTTGACTTTTAGCTGTCTGAGGTTAGCCTAGTGAAGCGTCATTGTGATGGTAGCGAGGGCGGCCATCTTTATTATGGAGTATCGTGCGAGATGACGCCCGCGCACCGCGCTCGTGACGAATCGCTGTGTATCGAAGTGATAGTGATATCTAGTGTTTCGATTGAGTTGGTGTCGTATTGAATAGACTGTACTTTATCCCTTTCAAAGTATGAGTTCCCATGAAGGCCCTCCTGTTCTTATAACGCCCTCCTACATATACATACCTACTATATATGAAAAACTCAATATAATCAATAAATAAACAAGATAAAAATATTATTATTTTAAACTATAATGTTATAATACACTATCTGTCTGGTTGAGACCGCTCCCCGCTCCGCTCGTGTGTGTGTCGCTACCTAACGTCATGCTCAGTGGTTTTCTATTAAGATACCCCCGCGTTAAACGGACGTTTTAACAACGAGGATACATTGGATACTGTGAAAAAATAAAAATAATAATCGTTTTATACAGAAACAAAGAAATCATTAAAAGTATGATTAAAACATAACTTGTTTTAAAGACGTAAATTTTGTTTGTTATTTTAATTCAGTCAATACATCTTTACTAGCCTTTTCTATCTTTATAAAAGAGAATTTCAAACAGTTATTTGTAACGTTTTCAATAGCCTCATAAGTTGTTAGCAAATCTGATAATAATAATTAGAGCTTCCTAAAAGTTGGCTGAAATACTTTTCTAAATAGTTTAGGTTAAAATGTATTAGTATTGTAGTATTCTTATGTGGCAACTCTTTGTAGGACGCATATTCAAAACTTGTATTAATATGTAATTTAATAAAAATGATTACATGTTTTTATGATAATATTGAATGAGAGTGAAAATGTAAAGAACAATCGAAATTTTAATTATTAGAATTTAAGAATGCGTCCACATTATTGTCTAATTAGAATATAATGTATTTGGTTTTGAATTATTAAGCAACAGAAAGAAAAAATATATGAATAATTACTATAAGCATAATGAGAATTGAGATCTAAGACTTTTGCGATAATTTATTTAAATAAAACTAATATTTTCGGACTACTATGCATAGTTCATACGTACGTATATAAGTATGAAAAACAATACAAAATCCCCGAGATATTTGTGCGTCGTCCTCCAGACCAGATATACATATTTTTCTATTAGCGAATTTAAAAACGCGTTGTGATGATAGAGCTTACAATTCCTTGGGAAAATAACATCCCCAAAGACCATACCATCAAGGTCAATAAGTATTACGAGCTCACTAACGAACTAACTCGAAATAGGTTCGTCGTTGATTTGTACGCTGCAGAGGTGGGAACGAGAGGTATGCTAAATCTCTCTATAACCTACTAAAAGACTTGGACATGTCCAGAAATAACATTAAATCATTATTGGAAAGTACTGCGAAAGCAGCTCTAGTAAGTTCTTTTCAAATTTGGTTAGGTCTACCTAAGGAGGAGGAGGAGAGGAGCTTGGACGGTGGAGGTGAACATTTAAAGCTCATATAAAGATAAGGGTCCCTTAAACCTACACCTGGGTAACAAGTCCCAGTCACTGTTGAAGCTCCTCTCACTACAGGTAAGTAATAGGAAAAAATATATTGGCCAACGATTAAAAATTCTACATATCAGATTTATTGACAACAACTTATTCTGAATTACTTTTTTTAGCCTTTTCTGACCGAAAGTGAATCTCAATATATTTTTACATTTCTGGTTAAACTAATTGCTTTTACATAAACCATTAAATATTTGATGTGTATATAAAAATTATTATATGTATATATTTTTCTGCCGTTCTAAAAAATATTATCTGATTATCTAGTTATTTAGAAAATATTTTGACTCTCTCAGAACGTATCCTCTAACTCCAGTGTCAAGTGTCAACTGTCAAAAGAAATAATCAGCGGCTCGATGTAACCAGAGGATTTTATTTAAAATAATATTAATTAAAAATGAAATTATTATCTAAAATATTCCAACCTGTGATCACAATACCAAAGGGCGCGAAGATTAAGAACACGGAAATAACATGTAAGAGTCAGAAAGTAAGTTACAGTGAATAAAATGTTAACGTAATTATTTTCGTAAAGTATCTCTTAATTTTTAAGAATTATGTCTGCAGAACGAGATCTAATATTTTAGCAAGTTTTATTCATTTCAATGAAACTAATATTTTTCGCATATACTACGCGACTTTATATATTGTTTTAATAACAAGACCAACTAACAGACACTCTCCTTTCGTCTGCCCGTGATCACGATTGCTGAAAAGTAACCGAAACGTAGTAAGTATGTAGTTTTTTACAAAAATAAACCGCGTATTATATCCTCAAAATATAAGTTTCATTTAAAATATAACTATAACTCGTATATTAATCAAATAAGATGGTTCCCTAATAAAGAGATTTATGTTTTGTTTTTTCTTATGTAAAAATATGTCTAAATACTTTATTACTTCCTGATGACCATTTAAACATTATCTACAATCAATATAATTAATATTAAACGACAGCTCTTATTAGAATGCGGTCTGGTTCGTCCAACGAGCGCCGGTTTCTTCACATTATTACCGTTGGCAAGACGAGCTCTGAACAAGTTAGAAAACATCGTACACCATTGTCTAGAAGATGTAGGAGCTCAACAGATATCACTTCCCTGTCTAACTTCAAGTAGACTGTGGGAAGCGAGCGGTCGTTTGGAGAAAGTTGGCTCCGAGTTATTAAAAGTAGAAGACAGACATAACAAGAAGTATATATTGGGTCCGGTGAGTTTATACCATCATTAACAGATAATTATTACAACAAAGGAGATCATTCTTTTTGGGCCTTTTTTAAAAGTGCCGGCCAACAAAAAAAAAAAGGTACATATTTGTAGAACTAACCATTTGGAACAATAGTTAATATGGCGCAAAAGTTGTAGGATCCAAGATATAGAAGTTATACAAGTTTCAAGATTCATCATTTTGGTACATTGATTTTTTTCTGAAAGTGCCAGGAAACATAAAATAATGATTGATATTGCTAGAGTTAAGCTTCTCAAGCAAATCATTATAGCCATAATCTGTTAGAAACATGTCGTTTTTATGTAATACTAGCGAACCCGACAGACGTTGTTCCGCCAAGTATCTGAACGCATGCAACACATTTCTTGATGATTTTATTATTTGTCTAAACTAATATGCATATCGGGGTGCCATTTTTATATATTAAAAAAATGGGCCTAGAAGCACTTGTAACTGATTTTGTACCATTTCGGGTCGGATTTGATCATATGACGCGAGAGCAAGTGCTCTTCTGTAAATATATGTAAGTGCCATCAAGTATAGAGATGGCCTTTGTTTCTTCAATCGGACTATCAGGATTACCAAATTATCGCTCTGGCACTATGAGGTTCCTCTGCGCCACTTGCTCTCGTGTCATATGATCAAATCCGACCCGAAATGGTACAAAATCAGTTAAAAGTGCTTCTAGGCCCATTTTTTAAATATATAAAAATGGCACCCCGATATGCATATTAGTTTAGACAAATAATAAAATCATCAAGAAATGTGTTGCATGCGTTCAGATACTTGGCGGAACAACGTCTGTCCGGTTCGCTAGTATTACATAAAAACGACATGTTTCTAACAGATTATGGCTATAATGATTTGCTTGAGAAGCTTAACTCTAGCAATATCAATCATTATTTTATGTTTCCTGGCACTTTCAGAAAAAAATCAATGTACCAAAATGATGAATCTTGAAACTTGTATAACTTCTATATCTTGGATCCTACAACTTTTGCGCCATATTAACTATTGTTCCAAATGGTTAGTTCTACAAATATGTACCTTTTTTTTTTTGTTGGCCGGCACTTTTAAAAAAGGCCCAAAAATGTATGAAGCCTGAATGATCTCCTTTGTAGTATTCAATAAAACTATGTATATTAAATTTGGCATGTATGTATGGTGTTAAGTAGAAAATGAATTATAGCAATGTTATGTATTAGTTATGTTTGCTTGGTATTGTAATAATAACAGTATGTCAAGTGTAATGTAGATAGATCACTTTATTATATTAGTTGTTGTCATTCAGTTTGATACTTACCACATACATACATACATACATGACTATAATATAGTTTTATTGAATACTAAAAGCAACTAATATAATAAAGTAATCTACCTACATTACACTACAATATTGAGCAAGTATAACTAATACATAACAAAATTTTCATATCTTATCTAGATTTTGCTAAATTAAATAGTTTTGTTCCACTAAATTATTAATAAATATCTACCAAACACCTCGTTTTAGTGCAGAAAGTTAAAATTCGATACATAATAGTTATTGTACTTCTATATAGCTTCTATTATATATATATTGAGTGCATATGTTCCAGACTCACGAGGAAGCCATCGCTGACCTGTTGTCCGATGTAGCTCCGTTGTCACACAAACAGCTACCATTCATACTGTACCAGGTGAGTGAAAGGAATAGAAGATATATCTTACCTGCTCGCTCCTTGATGTTTTTTTTTATACTGGTTTTCTTTATATTTCAGATAGGTAACAAGTATCGTGATGAGCTCCGTCCCAAGCACGGCCTGCTGAGAGCGAGGGAGTTCCTCATGATGGATGCTTACAGTGTGCACACGGACACAGACAGCGCTCTATACACGTACGACACACTCACACACGCGTACAGGGACGTGTTCCGACTACTGGAGCTGCCGGTGAGGAGAGGTGAGACATATACACATACACACACACACACATACATATATAATATTATACTAGTTGGTGACCGCTTTGGCTGTGTGTTTAGGAGCAAATTAAGATGAACTTAATACAATATATAATATGTTAACCAAGCAAATTAAACTAATACAGTTTATTAGAAAGAACAACATACATACATACATCATCAAACACTCTCACATACATCATAAATTGTTACCAGCAGAACACAGAGTCAAGACTATACTACTATGATATATGTATATAATATTGTAATTTTATTTGAATTAACTGACAAATAACTATTTATTTATAATGATATTGAAAATTATTTATTTAAATTGTAAACTATAAACTTTATATTTATAATTGTAGTAAATTCATTAGTAGTATTATTAGTTTATTCAAAAATATTTGCATGCAAAATCGGCAGAATATGTTTGACCACTGTAAATGTATGAAATACCTTTGTTAACCCATATTCAAGCAAATAAACTATTATTATTATACATCTATATATATTTCCAGTGGAGGCTCCGTCCGGTGACATGGGAGGCAGCCTCTCCCACGAGTGGCAGCTGCCAGCTCCCTCTGGTGAGGACAGGCTGAGTGTGTGTCCGTCCTGCTCGCACACCACCTTACTGGAGGAGGGGAGGGGGGGCGGGGCCTGTGGACAGTGTGCGAGGGAGACGGAGATATGGAGCAGTATTGAGGTGTGAAAAGGATGAGGATAGTTATGACTATTACTATTATATATACGAGGTGGTAGAGCCTAGCTGTGGTCAAGTTACTACAGCTCGAACATGGTCTGGCTCAACCGGGGAAGTACCACCCTCTCACAGAAGATCGACGTGAAGTAGTATTTAATGACTGCGTTTTGTCCGATGAGTGAGAAAGACGGTTGCCCTTGGCCTTTTCCCACCCTTTTCTCTTATTCTTCGCCAAATAAGGGCGGTATAGTCTGTTTGATTTAAGCTGAGCTTTACATTTATGTGAGTGTAGGTGTGAGTGTACACGGTTAGTGTAGGTGTGATGTCAAATTTTTGTATGAAACATTCCTTTCTAAATTTTAACCGGTTTATTCTGCTTTTACTCCGCCCCGCACCTTCCGCTCATTACCCTTTGTGCTGGTAGCAATCTCAAATATTGAAAACGCAATGTCAAGTGAATAAGAATTTGTATAATTTTTTTCAAAATTCTTATTAACCAATAATTTTTTTCTCCACAATATTCATAATATTTCCATCCTTTTACAAGTTTTGCTTATTTTATGGCACTTATGTTATGTATCTACTTAAAATATAATCAATATTAATTCTAAAAGTTTTTTGTCTAACTCTACTTTCACTTTCACTCACACAAATGCAAAGCTCAGCTTAAGTCTAACGAACTATAACGTATTCGCATTTGCGCATGTCCTTGGGCGACGGTACTTTGTCATTATATATACACATATAAGGCTTTTCTTTATATAAATATTGTTGTCGGTCAGGTCGGTCACACATTCGTGCTGGGTGACAGGTACAGCGCTCCACTCGTGATGGCCTGCTACGGGATAGGACTCACGAGGTAACATACTGTTTTAAAAATATTATTTACAGCGCTATCTAGTAGTGACAGGTGAGACTGCTTTGTATTATGTATAATTAGCGCTACCTAGCGTTGAAAACTAAGTTTATTTTTTAATTTTGAAACTAAATGTGTTCCACTGAATTTAATAATAAGAAAAAAACTAAGTAATTATTTAACTGTTCTTTACTTATGACAAGCTTTTCCTTAATTTGTTTTTCCCTTAGCAAGTATCAACTAAAACAAAATATAAATAATAAAACATTAACTATGATAAGTTTTTTATCAGATAAAATTACCGAAGGCCCATCAATTGTTTTATTATATGTACAATTTAATCGCTTTTCTTAACAATTCTCAAGTCATCTAGTCATCTAGTAATCTAGTAATGTTAACTTTTCACGCTTTATATACAGCGCCATCTATCGGTGTATACTATAACCTCTAATATCTATGTTTCACAGACTCCTCGCCGCTAGTGTGGAGCTCCTATCTTCCGATCGTTCCCTGCGGTGGCCGCACGCTCTGGCGCCCTACAAGGCCATCATTATAGGACCCAAGGTTAGAACAGACATACACACATTTATATATGTATATAGGAAAATAGTTAGTGGTGTCTTAGTGGTTAAAAGGCCCGCCTCTCATGCACGAAGGCGCGGGTTCGATCCTGGCCCGGGCAAGTACCAATGTGATTTTTCCGAGTCATATGTGTTTTATAAGAGTACTAGTAAAACTGGCGAACTCCGTTTCGCCACCAGAAGACTTTTATATAACATTTCGTTTGGTGATTAAAAGATGAAGATTTTTTTTGTTTTATATTTGAAAAGGAAAATTTTTATTTCATTTCACAACTGTAATTAATTCATTTCGATTACAAAAATGAAGTGTTATTTAGTTGAACTTCTCTAAGTAAATGAAAGTGAATCCAACGTAGATATCGAATCGAAGCGTTATACGTGTCCGCAAATTATCCGTTTCATTGAAGTGCTCCTTTGTAAAACACATTTTTTGTGTTTTGATCTAACTTTAACACAAATAAAGCGTATGGTTTCCAAACTCGTGAACACGCAAAATATAACTGCACATGTGAAAAACACTGATTTTTTAAATTTATCCCGCAAATACTAGATGGTTTTTGAGTTCAAACTACAAACACATTACCTAAATATTTTTAGTTTTATATAGTAGATTTCTTACAAATATCTAATTGTCATCCATACGTCATTACATATCTGTCATTATACGTCATTTGCATAGCTGTCAATTGTGTTTCGTTATTCCACGTTTTAAAGTGGCTGACGTTTCATGTCAAGTCCCACGGGAATGCTGTCGAACGGGATAAAAAGTATCCTATTGCAATTTCCTGGTTCTAAACTACCTCCCTGCCAATTTTCAGCTGAATCGGTTCAGCCGTTCTTGGGTTATAAGTGAAGTCACTAACACGACTTTCTTTTATATATATAGATTTAGATATCACTGATTAATGCATTCCCAAAGAGGGTTGATGTCAGACAGACAGCGGTCGTAAAAAACAATTAGCCGAAACTATTAACAACATGTAAGGCAGAATCTGGCTGAAGCTGGGAAATTGTCCGGTAGAAGAAGATAGGAAAATAGTTACTTCTTGAGGAATTTTTAAATACTCGACCTTCTGAAGTATGTGAGCGATGCAATGGAAAAGACGAGATTTGTTTGACCCAACACACGCGAGATATATAAGGTCGGATAAATCTCCAGATAAAATTATAAAAAAATATAGTTTTCTTATAAAGCCAGTACTTTTATATAACAACAAAATTTTAACAAGAACTAACTAATTATTATCTTAAACCAAAACACCTTCAATAAGTTAATTACGTTTGGTGGCAGCGAAGAAAAATCCGTTTTACTCATAAAATATATTCAATTTAACAATTATAGATTTATTTTTAACTACTCGCTAGGGCGGGGTCTTTAAGTCAGCGATTGACTTAAGACCCATTCTATAATTAAGTCTTATAACTAACTACATACTAAAGAGGTGTCTGTAAGTCAGCGGTTGACTCCAGACTGAATATATTATGTTAAACCCCATTTCCCATTCTCACTCAGAGTTAGCATTCCGAACTTTATACCATTGTTATACCGTGAACTTAATATCTGGTTATGTTTGCGTAACAAGTTAAATTCAATTTAATGCGTAACAAATAAAAACAAATAGGCAAAACTATTCACAACATGTAAGGCAGAATCTGGCTATAGCTGGGAAATTGCCAGGTAGAAGATATATCTATATAAATATATATATTCGACCATTATTAATGATCTCTTCTATTATTCTATTCCAGGAAGGCTCCAAGGAGTGGGTTCATCATGATCAGACTCAGTTGGAGCAGCTCGGGGCTCAAGTAGAGAAGGTGGCTGGAGACGTGGTGTTGGATGATAGACATCACCTCACTATAGGGAAGAGGTTACTACAGGCGGACAAGTGAGTATATATTTAGTTCAGTGAGTTTTAGATCGTCCTTGAGAATTTTTGTATGGAAAATAAATAAGAGAGTGGTTGTGCATACCGCCGCTGTGGCTGCATAGCGACGCTAGCAGTGACCAGCGGCCGATCGAAAAGGTTTAGTTTTATGTACTTTATAGATAGAGCTTTTAACAGATCGTGAATCGAATGTCATTTTAAATGTCTGTTAACATTTGTATTTCGTAATGTGTGAATAAAAGTATGTAAGTAAGAATTAAACAATATAGGTTTAGTTGTTATATGCGTAAGGTACGCAGTGCTTATTTGCATGTATGGTGTGCACGCACTGTTATACTGTAAATTGTTCATTAGGAGTTTTGACCGTACCTAGTACTTTATTCCACTTATTATTCCAGAACCGGCTACCCATACATCATAGTGTGCGGGCGCTCCGCCCTGGAGTCTCCGCCGCGGTACGAGCTGCATCGAGACCGGAGCGAAGCCCTAACACTGCCGCTTAACGAACTATTAGCATTCATTAAAGATTATAACAATGAACTAGACTTGAAGATCAAAAAAGAAATGTAATATATATAAATAAAAGATGTTTAGTTGACGAGAAAAAGGTTCAGATATTTATTAATATTATTTTAAAACCATATATTTTCGTTTTATTTCCTTTTCCTGACATTATTCTTGATTCCTTATATGATATATTTTAAACTATAGAATTTTTATCGTATTATATCATTAGAGGGAAACATTGAATTTTAAAATCGTTTACGTCGATGAATATTCATCATCATCATCAGTCTATCAGAGCCCACTGCTGTAAGGTCTCTTCTCACATGGAGAAGGTTTGAGCATTAATCACCACGCTTGCTCAAGACGGGTTGGCGATTTCAAACTTATAATTGTGAAATCATAAGTCCAGGTTTTTTCACGATGTTTTTTTTCATCAGTCAGTGATGTCTAAATACCCTTAGACAGTTCATATAACTCGGAAAAATGGTACTTGTCAGGTTATAAACTAGAATGATATGTAAAAAGTTCAAAAATATATTGTAATGAAATTAAAACAGAAATTCAAAATCAATAGTAATTTCGACTCTGTGTTCTGTCACTATATAAAGATGAAAGAATAATTCCCGCGTATTTATTGACACATTGTCACTTCGCCTTTCACATGTCACGACGCTCGTAATATTTTAAATAAACATTATCTATCTATATCTTCTATATATATAAAAATGGATTGCTGTTCCTTAGTCTCGCTAAAACTCGAGAACAGCTGAACGGATTTATGTTATCTTAGTCTTGAAATGTTCGTGGAGGTTCAGGGAAGGTATAAAAGGTGAGAAAAATTGATTCATTTCCGGGAAAACCCTAAAAAGAGCCCTTTTCTATTTCCCATACAAATGTTTTCTTTGACATTAGATTTGACAACTAACTAATATGTCAATCATTCTGTTCGATTGAAACAGGAAAAACCTGATTATTTATGGCCTCTAGGACGGAATAGATTTCGCCCAGTCAGCTATACATATATTACTAATGATGAAATTAACGCGGACGAAGTCGCGGGTGAAAACTAGTATGTATATAAAAATGGATTGCTGTTCCTTAGTCTCGCTAACACTCGAGAACGTCTGAATGGATTTATCTTATCTTAGTCTTGAAATGTTCGTGGAGGTTCAGGAAAGGTATAAAAGCTGAAAAAAATTGATTCATTACTGGGAAAACCATAAAAACAACCCTTTTCTATTTCCCATACAAACGTTTTTTTTGACATTAGATTTGACAACTAACTAATATGTCAATCATTCTGTCGCACTTCAAAACACGGAGATTTATGGCTTACAGGTAAACTCCAAAAATATAAATAAAAAAACGTAATAGATATTTCTTGATTATAGGGCGATACGAAGTTCGCCAGGTCAGCTAGTAAATAATAAAGATAAACGTCTTTATTCCATTTGAGAAAAAATGTTCGTGTTTTCTCCACACAATCTTAAAATTATAATTGGTCAAACAAATAAAAACATTGATAGTAGCTAAATATTACACGACTGCAGTGTAAATGAAGCCACAGTTTAAATAAAAAGAAAGTAATAAAAATATTATAATATGTTTTAAAAGAAATTTTAACAAGAACCTGATAAGTATACAGTGCCAAATTTACAATAGAAATGATTTTAGATATCAAAACTTCGCGATCGAATCCTAAAAACATAAAAGTTAGAATAAAAAAAGAGATCATTTAAACACATATAATGAAGTATTGATTAGTTTTCCAATTTCAGATCGATGCAACAACACATTATTAAAAAAAATAACAACATGTACTTATAAGTATAATAAGTATAACATGGACACAAACTAATTAATAAAAAAAAAAGAACAGTTGAAGTGTGTTTTACTCTATTTTCAGTCAGTTTACAATAAAATATATTGATATATGTGAAGTAAATAAATAGATAAACAGTACGAATCCCCGCTTAAAGCATTTAGAAAGTTAAATTGAACTACGTAATGACACAAAGGCCACCTTAATATTTGTCGGGACGACAATATTATAATTCATATATTGTATTATCATTTTAATTAGTTATAATAATTCTTTGTATTGAATTATTAATATTAAATAGTACATATATATAAAAAGCTTATATTTTTAACTGAGATGTACACAAAAAGTTAGACTTATAAGTCGTATAGATTAAATGTAAATGAGCGTTAGATATAACAACAATTTACAATTCATTTAAAAAGCGACCTTATTTTTAACTACATAAATTTGTTTTTCGTATGGTAGTAATAATATAATTATTTTTATTCTCAGTCAACTGTCCAATTTGAACTCACGGCGTCCCGCGTCACTCGTCAGTCGCTCTCCGTGTCGTGAGTAGATCGCTGGTTGTTGGTCGCGAGGTTTAAGTTTAAAAAAAGTGTTAACGAAGCCATTGTTTGTGGAGAACTTTGTTTTTTTTGGTGAACAGGTTTTAGCGGTAATGTTTTATTTACTCTATTCATACACACGGCCTTCATCGGCCAAGTTCCGTTAGTAATTATTTTGATCAAATCTACCGTTGATTCTTTTGTGTAAAGCTCTTCTATTTATTATTAACTATATTTAAACCCCTGCCTCGCCTGTTCGTAATATTTTAAAATAATTCAGATAATTTTTTGAATCGGTTGAATAGTTTTTTGAATTATTGCAAACAAGAATCAAACTTTCGAATTTAATACACACTTTCATTCTTTGCTACTTGGTGTAGGACTTTTAAATCGTCTCGCAAAATTTTTTTTTCCTATATTTTTATCGATAACTTTGTGCATATTTAACTTGTTTTTACATTAACGATTGTTAAACTTAATCGACTTATATGGAAGTTATTTTATAAAAGGCTGAACAATTTTAACCATTTGCTTGATGACGAAAAAAAAGGTATAGGTAATATTTTTCGCCATATTGATTCTATGCAAACATTTTTCTTACATTTTCTAGCATTTTTTTGTATAAGTCCAATTATTTTTAAACGTTATAACTAATTAAGATTCGATCTTGTAACAGTATATTGTAAATCACGTTTTATACAGTACATGTAAGTAAAAAAAAAAAACAAGTAATTCATCGGAAGCGTTGAGGCGAGATGCCCGTTTTAATGATTTTAATGAGAAATAACATATAAAAATATAAATCATATTATTATTGTATTTTAATAGACTTTCTCTTGTTATTTGAAGTAAATACTTGTATTGTATATATGTCTCTTGAGACAGTCAATTTATTAAATTGGATGAAGTATATTTTTTAGTTTTAAGACACTTTCCTCTCGTAATGATCACGGTTGTAAAGTAACCGAAACGTCGGGAGTATGTAGTTTATAACAATAAAATACGCGTAGTAGGTACATTTATGAAAAACTTTGTATAATTTTAATTTAAGTTTATTTTACTTTCATTTAAACATTACTCGTTTCTCATTCAAAAATACGTTAAGAAGAGACGAAATTTCTCATCATTCCATGTATTCACGGTGCGTGTGTCGGGTCCATCGTTGTAGTGAGAGCTTCAACAGTGACTGGGACTTGTGACCCAGGTGTAGGTTTAAGACCCTAACGCGTTAAACGCTCAACTCCACCGTACAAGCTCCTCTCTACCTATATTATTATTAAAATACTGTTGACGTTCCGTTTGTAATTTACGATGTCAACTTGTAGTAAGCATACCGTACCTATAATATATGTAGCTCCAAACTTCTACGACTTGTCAGTACCTTAGTTTCTCACTCCTACGTTAATTATATTATGTGTGTATTTACGAAGTAAATATTAAATATTGTGTTTTTAGTTACTGTGAATACATAATGGTATACTTTTTCTTCATGTATTTTAAATCACCTAATTTATTTTGAAGTGTTTTATATTATGATTGACGATATTCATAGTTTCCATAAAAGAAATTATTAATTCTTTCAATGAGTTAATATTTATTTAATGGTTTTCTTTTATTTCTGTGTACACACACATATATTTTTCACCTCGCCTCAAGCTACAGTATACATATATTTAAAATTTTAAACATAACTTCTTTTTTAACCGATTACGACTTACGTTTTTTTATTTCGTATCGTCTACGATCTACTAAATTTTATATATTTTATGAAATTTAATTAAAACCTTAATAAATTCCATATCAACGTTTTAAATAAAGTTTATAAAAAAATGAATAACAATATCGACTAATTTCAATACTACGACAAGTCAGTGTCCTAAGATAAGTTGGCGCCGCTCGACCCTCGACCCTTGACCCCAAGATTACTGTTGCTATTTATATAAAACAAACGTTTTTTTTATTGTATTTTACACTTACTATCTGTCACATACATGTCAAAGGTGATACTTTGATCTTATCCATCGTGACGACAAAAAATATTCAAATCCCTACTAATATGTATTATAAATGCGAAAGTAACTCTGTCTGTCTGTAACGCTTTCACGCCTAAACCACTGAACTGATTTTAATGAAATTTGGTACAGAGATAGAGTGAACCTTGAGAAAGGACATAGGATAGTTTTTATCCCAGACTTTTGAAAGGTTCTCTTGGAAAAGCGATATAACCGAACTCGACGCGGGCGAAGCTGATATTTGGAATTTCATGATAAATTATAAACCTGCCAAAACCCTTGGGCCTGTCCAGAACTAATATCAATTCATTCTTGGAACGTACTTCGAAGGCAGCTCTAGTAGGTTATTTTCAAAATTGGTAGAGAGAGGAGCTTGTACGGTTGAGGTGATCGTTTAAGGCACGTTAGATAGAGGTCCCTTAAACCTACACCTGGGTCACAAGTCCCAGTCACTGTTGAAGCTCCTCTCACTACAACGATGGACCCGACACACGCACCGTGAATACATGGAATGACGAGAGGTTTCGTTTCTATATCCTCTTCTAATATCTGAGCTACGTTATTTATAAAGTTTCATCCAAATCTGTTTATTATTTTTTGGATAATAAAGTAACAAACATTCAGCCATCCTAACAAATGATTTTAGTGGAATATAATGTTAGAATTTAAAGATAATTTATGATATTTGAGTAAGTACTTACTGACATAGTAATCTACCGTTTCTTTGAGTACTTGTCGTTTTGTAAGTCGGCCGTGATCTTATCTTTCTTCTCAATAACTGTTCTATATCCTTAATACAAGTTTAGCGCCGTCACGTCACACTACACACGCAGCGTTTACAGTTTCTTACTTATAAACTTAAACTATCACGTGCAAAGACATATGAAGGAAACATTTAAGTACTGCTCGCCATTCCCAGGGCTAGATGATTAACGACAAATAAAATCATCTCATTTTTACGTATTGAGATTAAAAATGTTATAGGAATAATTATAATGATATTTATTATAAAAATATTAAAACATATTTGTTAAGTTTCATTTGAATAAAAATCATATTTATATTTTATAATTTACTTTTAAAAATTATAAAAAATCCTGCAAGCTGAAATATAATTACAGAAAAATGAAAATATACATTTCGAGACAAAATTGTACCATGTTTAATATTGTCAACAGATTTTTTTGTTTTAATAAATAAAATTAATTCTACGTCACGTTTTATAATAAAAGCTATCAAAACTACATTGATATTTAAACAATAATACAACATGACCCGCCCGTGTACAGTCGGTCAAACTGGGCCATGAGGTTAACTCAATTGACCCTCTGGCGACGCACACGAGATGTTTCACAGAACTAACTGCACCTCTTAATGTACTGACCCTAGTTCGAGTACAAGCTCACGATTACACTGATAGTATGACGTTAGCCATGAGACTTCGGATATATTCGGGAGTGCTCGGGTATGTTCGGGTATCCTCGGGTGTTTTCGGGTATGACGTCACAGTTACGTCACACCGGGCGTGTTAGGTAGTCGTACTTTTAGTAGGACAGTCACACAGTGTCTGTAATTCTAACGAAATGACTCATTGTCTCCTTGAGTTGTGTGAAGTGGGAATATAATGGAGATTGCTGCGGTTGTAACTCATAGATAAATATAGATAGATAGATTGAGATAGATTACGGGTTATAGATAACTATAGATCATGTAGATATGTGGTCAAATCTCATCCAATACATTTACGTTCATATAATTCAATAATAATAAAATAAAGATATTTTTTAATTGAAACTAAGTTTTTTGGATGCTACGAGTACGCAATTTAAAGAATTTTATACTTATAATATTTTTCAGTAATTAAACAAACGAAAAAAACCAGTTGCTACGAAAACATTAAAATGCTTTACAATATTTTCCTATAACATCAAATTAGCAATTATTTATTTTATAATGAAACATATATTAAAGTTATAAACATATATTCCGTAATAAAAATTTATAACAAGATTATTAATGTAGGTATTTTAATTAAATACCATACTCGGTACATGACCTTGGTTTTGATTTAGCAAGGAAAACATAAGAAATAAATAAATATATATATAAATATAGCTTAAATATTTTGTACTTTGATCGGTGATACATCATCAAGTATCCTTACCACGTGTTGACGTCCTCAAACTAAACACTAGTAGTTTCTCGTATTTAGTATTATAACGTGATGAGAATTATTAATACCTAACTACATAGTTTTTACTCGACTTCGTCCGCGTTAATTTCGTCATTAGTAATATATGTATAGCTGACCGGGAGAACTCTAGTCCGTCCTAGAGGCAGTAAACTAGATATTTTAGATACAATCGAACAGTATTAAATATCCTATGTCCGTCTCCTTGTTCTAATCTATCTCTCCACCAATTTCAACCATGTACGTACAGTCGTTCTTGAGTTATAAATAGTGTAACTAACACGACTTTCTTATATATAACATTATCATCAAAATACTATATATTTCGAGTATAATTCTTGTTTTTTTATTTCAATTTCATATCTTTTTCCAGATCATGCGATCTCTGCTCGTTCTGTTCGTGCTGACCGTACTCTGCGGAGTTCACGGGAAGGGAAAACATGATGACAAGGTGTAGTTACAACGTTAAATATATCCTTTAAGATAAAATACAGTAAAAGATATCCTTAAAGTTGGCTATAATACTTTATTTGTTGTGCTTGGCCAAATAATGTGTGGATGATATATTCGTCTTCATTTGACATATTTGCACAAATAACACACATACCCAAATAAGCGAAAACGCGTATAGACGTGTTGTGATGCCAAGTGTGGATGTAGTGTTTGCGCTGTTTGGACTACGTACAAATATTTGGACAAATACGGCGAATACGATACGCCAAGTGAAGACGAATACGCTACCTTAAAGATAATGTTGTTAAAGATATGTTGTATTAAACTTGATCCCCAGATAAATAACTATTAAAATGTTTGTTTATTAAAAGTGATATGAACTTTACTGAACTCTTACTTTGTCCCTACCACGTAGTTGACTGTAATGTGACATGCGATAGATTGACATAAAATTTTCATATTCTTGATAATAGTATCACTTTAATCAATATCGCAATAGTTTTATAGGTGATTTTTACTCATTTCCTTATTCTCTATCTACCCTCCAACCAATAATTTTATGTAAATATGTTTTTTTTCCCCTATAAAGGTGAAGATAGCTGTGTACTACGAGTCTCTCTGTCCGGACAGCAAGAAGTTCATAACCAGCCAGCTGGCGCCCGTCTGGAGAGACTTTAGAGGACAAGTTAAAGTCAAGATGGTGCCGTATGGGAAGGCCACCGTGAGTTATACGACATAGATAAATTACTAAAACATTTCGATACCTCCCACTTAAGTTGTATGCCACAAAAATGCTATTTTGCTTTTTTTATGACAAATATCCTATTATTGATCATTACATCCATTCAAATTTAAAAAAAAAACAACAAAAACACTATTTTTAAAGGATTTGCCAGACGCGTAATGTTGTAATTTTCAAACGCGAACGGATTAATCTAATATATAGGGTGACTGGTGAATTACTATCGATACTTGAGGACGTGATATTTGACGATCATATATGACAAAATAAAAATTAATATAACATAAATATTAATAAACTTCTAAGTAAAGTTAACCAAAAGTTATGTAATTAATTACGCATCGTGTGAATACCCTACAGATTAGGTATATACACACACACACTCCACACTAGGAACACGGGGAACGTGTCCACGCTTTTTTTATACGGAAATTTGGTCAAAAATTAAGTACCTATTTTTTTACATAATTCGAATGAGAATCATGTACCGAGTATTCTCCTTAAATATTGATAGTAATTCACCAGTCACCCTGTATATGCCTAAGCAATTGTTTACGCGGGGGACGAGGTGGGTAAAATCACGCCGCGTATGAGTTACGTACAACAGAGTAAGACTTATATTTTTCAACGTAAACAGTTGTAACTATCATATACCACAAGTAATGCTACCTGGACGCCGCGGTATAATATTGTAAGTATCAGATACAACACCTTTTTTAGCTTCTACTCCGAAGTAAAATGTCGTATGAACAATATAACAACAATATCTCCGCAAAGAGACATATTACTTAAAATATCTTTTAACGTAGTTAAGAAGACTATTATGTTAAATTTGAATACGAATTTTTAAAAGATGTATCAATAAATGCAGATTTTGGTTTAATTTGAATCTTTAAAACGCTCTACTGTAAAATTACAGTTTTGAGATATAACAACTTACGTGGGAGGTATCGATTTATGTGTAGTGCTGAAAGTTCTATAATATTATGACTGTGGTTGAAGAGTTATGTGTTAAATCGTCTGTTCGGAAATAAACTCAAAGAGAAATGTGTTAAGTTTGTCTAAAGATCATATACATATATGATATATGTTAATCAACAATCAATTCTGTTACTTCACACTGCATACAAAAGTTATGAAACAACCACGCGCTAACTACACGGAATGGCGACATAAATTACAGCCTATGTCTTATTCTGGTACCTGAGCTACATTACTGTAAAGTTTTATCAAAATCTGTAAATCATTTTTTACTTGAAACACCAACAAACACCATTACATCTTCGTAAAAAATCGCTTTTAAAGATATTAGGTCAGTAGTAACTGAAAAAGTAGGGTCTACGACCGATGTGCTCGTTGAAAAACAGTAAAACCAACAGTATTTAGTTCAAAGATAAAAACTCGTACTAATGATATGTTCTAACGATTATATGAACTTATAATTATTGTTCAACATTAATATGTATGTACACAATTAAATAAGACAAGATACGCAATACTTCAAGTGAATTTTAATCAAGTTATTATTATAGTTCTTATGTAGGACATAAAATATATACTCTCTATTGCATGTCGTTGTAACACTACTTTCAAAGCTCAGTACTTAGTAAAAGATTAACAATATAGATAAATCTTCCCATACTTTCTCATTCTTATTGTCTTGCCTCAAGACCTCTCACTCTTCATACACATTACCGGCGTCATATTAATTTTAAATGTAAATAAATAATTCTTGTTATATAACAACATGTACGTGACAGCCATGTTGACGAGTTATGTTGGAATAAAATTATTTATAAATACAACGAGGAAAACACATTTGAATTTAAAACTGCGTTTAAGGATTCAGGTGACAAAATCATTAAAAATAGATTGTCTTATAAATCTATAACTTTTCAATTATTTTCTTAGACCAAAACACCTTCAATAAGTTAAATTTAATTTACAAAAATACAAGTCGTGTTGACAAAATACTTTCCCGCGTAAAAGTGAACAAAACAAATGTATGCTTTAACGTCACTTCGGGTGCGTTCGGGAGTTTTTAAGGTTCGGTTTGGACAAAATAAGCTTATTTTTGAGAACGTATAGGTAATAAAGGTTGCTTTGTTAAATGATATACACTTATGTCGAATATATATATTTATTTAACATACTTTATACATTTCTCTCTGAATCTAATCCTACACTCAAATAAAAACTTTAGCTGTCTGATTTTTATAAAACATTCTCTTTAATCAAGTTTAAGTATTCCATAATTCATTTTTCTGTACAGAACTATGTTATAAGTTAGTAAACATAATAATCTCTTCAATAGTAATCGACACTATCACTTCACTGGCTCCAAGTCATGTGTAACCCTGGCACGTTCACTCACGCATTATACTGACGTTGAGAAACATTGACCTCGACGCAGTTCAGAGAACTTGTGTATTAAAAAACAGAATACATCTTCATCATCAGCCTATCAGAGCCCCTTAAAACCTAAGGACTCTTCTCATAGGAAGAAGGTTTGAGCATTAATCACCACGCTCGAAGAAGACGAGTTGGTGATTTCAAACTTATAATTGTGAAATTATAAGTCCAGTGTTGTCTAAATAATCTCAGAAAGTCCATATGACTGGGAAAATCTCATTGGTACTTGCCAGGATCGAACCCGCGACCTCATGCATGAAAGTCGGGCTTTTAACCACTAGGACACCAATGACTTAATCCATATTATAATGTTTAAAATACTATTAAAAATAAATTGACTACAAACATATATTATATCTTGATTAAGTATTTCTAGTAGATACGATGGCTTAGTTGTTAAAATGTCTATAAACATACTCGTATATAGCAGGTTCATACCTACTCTCATTATTTTGACACGTTGTTTTGTTCTCAGCACGACAAAGTGAATGGTAAATGGCAGTTCATCTGTCACCACGGACCCGACGAGTGTTACGGTAACAAGGTATGATAGAAAATATTATAAAAAAACAAAGTAATTTCTATATACTTATCCTGCAACTTTGTTTTTTATGTTACTCAAATTAATCGTCTTTTAGATTCTTTGAACGGTGTAAATCACTATATATAGAAGATTATTAAAATTTAAGCAATCAAGTCAAGTTTATTATTTGTGCTAATCAAAATTCTCTACCAAATAACATTAAATATAGACCATAAATGAGTTGTAAGTGCAAGAAAAACTTTTGAGACATAATCGTTTTACGTAGTAATGAAGTCTCAGCTAAACTCTCACCGTCTGTACCTCCCCAGCTCCAGTCATGTATCTTGAAGGACCGCACGCTCCAGGACACAGACAAGATGGAGCTCATCATCTGTTTGATGGGACAGGAGCACCCCGACAAATCCATAGATACAGTGAGAGATTACATTATATTAATTATATTACAGTGAGAGATTACATTATATTATATTACTAGAAGACCTGGTGAACTTCGTGTCGCCCTATAATCAAGAAATATCTGTTACTTTTTTTTTATATTTTTGGAGTTTACCTATTAAAGCCATAAATCTCCGTGTTTTGAAGTGCGTTAGAATGATTGACATATTAGTTAGTTGTCAAATCTAATGTCAAAAAAAAACCGTTTGTATCAACAATTACTAATAAATTAAAAATTAATTAAAAAAACATTGTCCAGCGGATAAAAAATTACATCAAAATCGGTTCAGTCGTTTGAGAGAAGTTCAGTGACATACACACTCACTGAAGAATTATATATATAAAAATTATGTATTACTAGCTTTCCGTCCGCAGCTTCGCCCGCGTGGAGTTCGGTTATATCGCATTTCCAAGAGAACCTTTCAAAAGTCTAGGATAAAAACTATCCTATGTTCTTTCCAAGGTCAACTCTATCTGTACCAAATTTCATTAAAATCAGTTCAGTGGTTTAGTCGTGAAAGCCTAACAGACAGACAGAGTTATTTTCGCATTTATAATATTAGTAGGGATATAAAGAGTGTTATTATATATTTTTTATTATTATTCCAGTGTCTCGTTCAAGTTAAGAGAGAAGCTGAGTCAGTCAAGTTGAAGAAGTGTGCGTCCGGGGCTCAAGGTGACGCGCTGCTCGCGTCCTACGGAGACAAGACGGACGTCGTACAGAGACCGTTATCATTCGTACCGACTGTTGTTATCAACGAGGCGAGTATAACAAACATGATCTACGATGTCACTCATCATATGAGGGAGCCTTCAAGTATTACCTAACGCAATCTGGGATTTCTATGCGTTACAGGGCCGCGGGGGGGGGGTTGTTTCTTACAAAACGTTATAACAGCATTGTTTCTTAAAAAAATAATGAACTGGCAACCCTTTTCATATATACGTTTCGACCAGACTAATGCAATCGAGGGTCGACATTTTTAATTTGTTCTCGAAAGTTTGCAAACCTCTTAATTAATATTTTACGGAGAATACCTTGCATTGTAAGTCATTTAATGTTGGTTCCGTGGTCAGTATTCATTAGTGTTCAAAAGAGGGAGATTTGTATGAGTGATATTGCTTCATTTAGTAGATTAAAACTATACCAAACTATTACATAACTTTTTACGGCTTTAGGATGAAATTGATCACTTGATTGTTACGTAACGTTTAGAGGAGTGTGTTACAGAAAAAACGTTACGGTGCGTTACTAGGGGGGAAAAGAGGAGTTAAAAATCTTCGAAAATTGCGTTACATAATATTTCAAGCGATGTCACTCATTATAATATTATATTTTGTTCCAGAAATTCGATCAAGCCGTCCAAGACGAGGCTGTGTCAGACTTAAAGGCGGTCGTGTGTCGCGTGGCTGTCAACAAGCCAGCTATGTGTGCTTAAATAATAATATACATTATAATACACATATATACCGTGACTCTGGCTGTTTTATTGAAAATATTCCCAGTTCTGAGGTTTAAGTAGAACAATTTCTATTTCATTTTGTTCATGTTTTATTAAAATAATCAAGAGTAGCTTGCTTATATACCAAATATTGCTGTAACACTGGCAATTGACCAAATTTGACTGTTTTTATTAATTACTAGAAGACCTGGCGAACTTCGTATCGCCCTATAATCAAGAAATATCTGTTACGTTTTTTTATTTATATTTTTGGAGTTTACCTATTAAAGCCATAAATCTCTGTGTTTTTAAGTGCGACAGAATGATTGACATATTAGTTAGTTGTCACATCTAATGTCAAAAAAAACGTTTGTATGGGAAATAGAAAAGGGCTGTTTTTATGGTTTTCCCAGTAATGAATAAATTTTTTTCAGCTTTTATGCCCTCCCTGAACCTAAGCGAACATTTCAAGACTAAGATATGATAAATCCGTTCAGCTGTTCTCGAGTTTTAGTGAGACTAAGGAACAGCAATCCATTTTTATATATACAGGGTGACTGGTGAATTACTATCAATATTTAAGGAGCATACTCGGTACATGATTCTCATTCGAATTATGTAAAAAAAATAGGTACTTAATTTTTGACCAAATTTCCGTATAAATAAATAAAGTGTGTACACGTTCCAAGTGTTCCTAGTGTGGACGCGTGCGGCGACGTGCTGATACAACAACACGCCGCCGCGCGCGTATGTGTGAGTGTGTAGTGTAGAGTAATCTGTAGGGTGTTCATACGATGCGTAATTAATTACACAACTTTTGGTTAACTTTACTTAGAAGTTTATTAATATTTATGTTATATTAATTTTTATTTCGTCATATATGATCGTCAAATATCACGTCCTCAAATATCGATAGTAATTCACCAGTCACCCTGTATAGAAGAAGAAGATAGAAGATTATAGATATAATAAAACAGCATATCTTATAAGTTTTATTTACATTATATACATTATTTACACCACGTCCTGCGCTTCACGGAAGGTACATATAGATTGAGCTTTACAACTACCCACACGAACAAACCCGTAGTATATCACTTGTGTTTCCTCCTGGTCGCTCCGTGTCTCCTCAGCCTGTGTTTCCTCAAGTCACTCTCCCTCTTCGTCGTATAATCACATCCCTCACATTCGAACCTCCCCCCACACACCCTCACGTGTCTCACTAAACTGGTTTTCACATTACTCGTGTAACTACACTTGCTACACTGATATCCATTCTTACCACTCACGATGACCCGTTCGTGTGATTTCAGATGGTATATCAAACTCATGTTATGCCTGGCCCTATAATCACATAGATGACACTTATATTTCTTCTCGTCTTTATGTTTCCGCTTGTGTCTGCCGAACTGCGCTTTACTGGCTGTCGTGTATCCACATATTTGGCAGACCTCTAGTACTGTAGTGTGTTCCTCCGTGTGTTTGTTGTAGTCGCTCCGGTCGTGTGTGTTGTAGCCACACTCCACACAGTAGTATGTGTACATCGGCCACTTCTGTCCGTGTGTCCGCACCAGCTTCACCAGCGGCAGGTCGTCTTCCTCCTCATGGTCCGTGTCTCCGTCTGTCAGTTCCACTATATCTATGTGAGGTTCCTCTATAATCACTTCATCTTCGTCGCTGGACGTCAATAGACTTATTGGGTCCTCCTTCCTGGAAAGATTCAAATATAAATATAAAACAATAATAATAATATATATTTTTTTGCTACACACATACATTACATATTATACAGTTATATAGAAGAAAAGGATAAGATCACAACTGTTCTCAAATCTAAATAATAGAAACTTTAGTATTCATCCTACTAATATTATAATAGCGAAAGTTTGTGAGTGTGTGTATGTTTGTTACTTCTTCACGCTCAAACGGCTGAACCGATTTTGATAAAATTTTGTATACAGGAAGCTGACGTCCAGAAATAACATATAACTACTTTACATCCCGGAAAACTGTGGGTAACACCGCGGAGCGCTGCTAGTTATACTATATAAGTCTTCTTCTTCCTGGCAATTTTCCCAGCTTTAGCCAGGCTCTGCCTTATACTATATATGTATATCTCCGTAATTTCTTCGTTTTCAAAAGGTCACTCGGTCTGTTTTAGACACTTACTGTTCTAGAGTCATCACTATAGTGTTGCCTCATATATCTGTTCTCATCTCACTTAGAGTAACCCTTAATTATATTACTACGGGTTTTTTTATTATTATAAACTACTCTCGACGTTTCGGTTACTTTACAACCGTGATCATTAAGACGAGATGATGAAAATACGCATAGTAATATGAACATATTAGTTTCATTTAAATGAATACTTATTAGAAGATACTTGACCAGTCGAGTTGATCTCTACCCTAATTCTGCGGCCACACTACCGTTTAACTTCAATGAACATTATCGCGATAATTGTGGTTAAAGAACTTTATTTCTCATAAAGAACAATGTTCACTTGAATGAGATGTATTACATAATTCAATTCAACCAACAATTCAGTACAGTAGCAACGACCCATACACCTCAAGAGCGGTTAATCCAAGTGCTCCCTACAATAACTGAATAGTTTCCTTCTAAAAATCGCAAAAGTATTTCATCAAAAACTTCGCCAGGTAAGCCGTTATATAATTACTAGAAGACCCGGCGCACTTCATATCGCTCTATAATCAAGTTAATCTGATACATTTTTTATTTATATTTTTGGAGTTTACCTATTAAAGCCATAAATCTCCGTGTTTTGAAGTGAGACAGAATGATTGACATATTAGTTAGTTGTCAAATCTAATGTCAAAAATAATGTTTGTATCAACAACTAGCAATAAATTAAAAATTAATTAAAAAAACATTGTCCAGCGGACAAAATTGTGAATCAACACGATTCCCAGATCCCCGTGAACGCACACAAAAATTTTTATCAAAATCGGTCCAGTTGTTTGAGAGAAGTTCAGTGACATACACACTCACAGAAGAATTATATGTATATATAAAAATATTGTCACTATCCCGTTGGTGTGTCCGTAGCATATCGTACACGTACAGGTACATCGTACACGTACAGGTACATCGTACACGTACCTCTCTCCCAGGTCTATAACGTCCGAGTCTCTATCCATCTCGTGTTCGTTGTCCTGCTCCTCAAACAGTCCAGGGTCCACCTCACACTGAACACTCTCCAGCACCATCATACAGTCGCCCGCCACGTCGCTACCTGCAGCATAACAATACTATATAGAACAACTTCGATATAAGGCTTCGAAGGCTTATATATACAGGGTGCCTGGTGAATTACTATCGATACTTGAGGACGTGATATTTGACGATCATATATGACAAAATATAAATTAATATATCATAAATATTAATAAACTTCTAAGTAAAGTTAACCAAAAGTTATGTAATTAATTACGCATCGTGTGAACACCCTACAGATTAGGTATACACACACACACACACACATACGCGCGCGGCGGCGTAGTGTTGTATCAGCACGCCGCCGCACGCGTCCACACTTGGAACACTTGGAACGTGTCAACACTTTATTTATTTATACGGAAATTTTGTCAAAAATTATGTACCTATTTTTTTTACATAATTCGAATGAGAATCATGTACCGAGTATTCTCCATAAATATTGATAGTAAATCACCAGTCACCCTGTATACATATATTACCGTCCGCGTGGAGTTCGGTTTTATCGCGTTTCCAAGAGAACCTTTTAAAAGTTTAATATGTCCATTTAAATACAAAATTAATTGATATTGTTATAAAACTGTTAAATAATTGAAATTCTTTTTCATTATATAATTGATCCTAAGAAAACAATCTTGTGATAGTTACTAATGTTTAATATATTTAGTGCATGCTGTGATTACATATAAAAATTATCAACTGTGTTCAATTGTTAACTATATAATATTTGCAACACTATTGTCATTTCTGTTGGTGATCCTACAAAATAAACAAATAAAGTCTGGGATAAAAACTATCCTATGTTCTTTCTCAAGGTCAACTCTGTCTGTACCAAATTTAAAAAAAAATCAGTTTAGTGGTTTAGGCGTGAAAGCCTAACAGACAGACAGAGTTACTTTCGCATTTATAATATTAGTAGGGATGTATAAGGTATTATCCAAACACTTTGAAAATTTGAAAATTAATTATTTCAGCTAATGAAAAACCACTATAACTTGTCTTAGCTAAATGAAATTACTAATTACCCAGGCCTCTTATACAAATCCCCAATTTATATTCTTGCCTTCCCCAAGATTTAAAGCACCCACCAGGGGGCGTCATTATCCACTTCGGGAGAGGCTGATACAATATATGTAGTAGTTAATAATAAGACATTGTCAATTGCTCTAGAATTTTGATTGATGTCTACTAATCTCCATCTTTTAATACAAAACAACAAATTCATAACAGAAAATTATAGTATCAAATATATTTTTCCATCTCAGTATGTTCTATCTTAAGTTTTATCCCTATTAATATTATAAATGCGAGAGTAACTCTGTCTATCTGTCTGTTTGTTACGCTTTCACGCCTAAACCACTGAACTGATTTTAATGAAATTTGGTACTGACATAGAGTTGACTTTGAGAAATAGCCTAGCCTAGCCTAGCTGGGAAATTGCCAGGTTGAAGAAGAAGAATAGAGTTGACCTTGAGAATGAACATAGGACAGTTTTTGTCCCAGACTTCTGAAAGGTTCTCTTTTAAACGCGATATAACCGAACTCGACGCGGGCGAAGCTGCGGGAGGGAAGCTAGTTTACAATATTTATATGTATAGTCTACATTACCTTTATCAACATTAACTTCTATATACACGGGCGCGGCGTCTTCTCCTATCGTTAACACGTCACTCTCCTCATTCTGTATCTCTGTCTCTTTCTCTGTCTCTGTCTCTCCGTTTTCTCTCTCTTTCTCTTCTCCTTCTATTTCCGTTTCCCTGTTGATAGGTCTTATCTGTTTTATTTGATAGTTCGTTATAATGTCTTCTATGTCTTTGTGTGCCTCGGTGTCTTGGGACGAGTTTTCCACGAGCCTGTAATATGGTTGAAGCTTGAATTAGTTACAGCAATATAAAATGTATGTCTGTTGTTACACAAAACCTTTGAAACTTTAACATTTGTGGTTACCGTCGCCTATGGACATCTGCTACATCTTTTATGTTGACGGATGCGTTGTCAACCTTATTTATTGAGGAAAATTGAATGAAAGGAATAAGGAAATTGCAGGAAAGAGTGGAAACAGGGAAATAGCGACCGTCTCTCTCACTCATCGGACGAAAAACCATTAAGACTACTTCACGCCGATCTTCTGTGAGAGGGTGGTACTTACGGTCTAGACAGACCATGTTCGAGCTGTAGTAACTTGACCACAGCTAGGGTCTACCATGTATTATACTATGATATAAAGCCATCTAAATGAATCTTTTACCTCTCTACAACATCCCCGTTCGGTTCGTTCTGTATATTGTCTCTGGTCTGTATATCCTTGTCTATGGTGTTAGTCTTCAACGTGTTCTTGTCTATGGTAGCGGCGGGTATCTCATCATTAACGTCCACAATGCTCTCTGTTGTTTCTCTATGGGGTGACGGCGACTTTCTTAACTGAAGAAATACATGAGGAAGAGCTTTGAAAATATACTTCCGCTAGTAGCACGTGTGTGTGTGTGTGTGTGTGAGGTATTGTGAGTATGTGGGGTCGCCAATAGTTAAATGGAGTTGCTTATGTGTGAGACTTTGTTCATATATGTGTGTGTGTGTGTGTATTTAGGTATTGGAGTGTTTTTAAATGCGTTGCAGTAATTTTGTTAGTATTTGCGTGTGTGGATCTATGTCCTTCCGTGATTTGAAATCTGTTTCTTGGTCTTTATGCGTGTGTGTCTGTGTGTCTGCGCGCGTGTGTGTGTGTGTGTGTGTAAACTCACATTGAACACGCTCGGCACCACCTTCGCCTTGAGCCTGGTCTTCCCTCGTATAAAGTCATACTCATCCTCCTTAAAGTGTTGGTGACAGATGACCGAGTCGATGGTGATCCGTCCCTTGGTCGGCGTCACGTCCAGCCACTTCCTCAGCAGGGTCTTGCTCGCTGGGAAACTATTCAAAGATAACATCTATATATTACAATTCATTATCGGAGATTAGTTATTTCTTACATAAGAACCTAATAATAATAACAAATACAATATAAAAAGAATTAGTGAAATCGGTCCAGTTATTCATGCGTGAAGCCGTGACCAAGGGGAAAAGGGATTCATTTTTTATATATATAGATGAAGATGATTAATTATCGGAGGTTAGTTATTTCTTCATAATGTAATCTTTTATAAGTATTTTCTATTTCTCCCCTTCTCTCCAATTCTAAACTCTTTAATTTCAGGGTCCAATATGTTACAGGAACTACGTATTACATTCGTCATCGTCTCTGGTATAGTTTTATCTTTTCATTCATATCTAATGTCTTTTATTCCTTAAATATCCATATTTGATATCACAATTGGAAGCTGGTTCCCATTAATGGTTTTTAAAATGTATTGTTAGGCTACAAAATTTCTAAACTACATATATAGACCAAGATCACTCATCACGAAAAAACATCCAGAATTTTCTCCAGCTATTTTTCCATATAAAAATGTTACTCCAATAATATTTAATAAAAACCACTTCATTCATTTTAATTCCTGATTAAAATCAAACATTTTTACGTTAAATTACGTTTTAGTTAAAGTTAGTAATAAATTTAATGACTTTTTTAAGAGGAAACTGGATAGAAGACAGTAAGGATCTATCAAAAGCTTGGGCTGTTGATCAAGTTACTTAAAACCTAAATAATATAGTGACTTCGCTCTGCACTGTATATGTTAAAAGGTGCTCCGATCAAGTAATTCTTGGACCAACTCATCATCAATCTATTTGAACATGGTAAATATCATCAGCAAATCTAACTTCATCTAACCATTTAACTCCTGGACATCAGTTCCTTCAAGTATGGGCTACTCTTATTACATCACAAAATATATCGGACTTATTTGGTAAAGAACCTATCTGTTTGAAACAAAACATTAAATACACTTCTATATATAAAATGCATAAGAGAAAATATATACTAATATAAAAAACTTTATATAATGCTTGTCTTGAATTCAAGACATTATTTTATACATATCCAACTACCTATGTGAAAAGAGGTGGTCAAGTTTCCAGAGTAAATACTCCATTTGGAATTCTTTGTTACAATGAGCTGGTCATTGGCTGAGAAGCCTCGGTAAGCCTCTACAAGAGGCAATGGCTTCAAGGGACACATACTATACAAAGTCTACGCTAAATTACTATAAATCCTACATATTTGATTTTTCTCTGTACATTTTCCATTAATAGTCCTCTAATTGAGTATAAAAATTCCTCTTATTATGTATTTACTTGTTAAATATAATGGTTTCAAATATTTTTATTGACTTTACAATAAACAAATTTCATAATATACAAAATACACATATAAATTTTTATTTGTGTTGTACCAAAAATATAAAATTAGTTTCAGTTTAATTAATATTTAATTACTTTTTTATATTAAGGTAAATATTTTGATATCACATTCAGAAGCCGTGATAATAATTTTACTTTTGCATAGCTCCGAAACAATATTATCGAATAATATAATTTACATATAAATATATTAATATATAATTTTATTTTAATTAGACATTACTATTTTTATAGGCTTTGCATTTTAATACACATTTCAAGTAAGTTCATACAATAAAAATGTATGAGTTTAAATATTTTTGATATTATAAATTTCCAAATACTCTCCCGAGAAAGTTATATGCAAAGTACTGTTAAACTCATTAATCACTATATTTGAAGTTGGATAACCTGAACACTCTTGCTCTTTGTTAAGTTTTTTTGTTTAAAATTTAGTATTTATAAAATTTCTCATACAAATACATTCCATTAATAAAAATAAAGTTTATATTGAGATCTGTGCCTATGAAATATAATTATATAGACTTTAAAAGGTACCTCAAATAATATTTGTGTATTTAAATTATTTATTATAAGACTGTGTAATATTTTACTTACGGGAAGTAAATTTTATCTTCATTTGTGTTTGGGCATCGTTCTACACAGCATCTACTCATTTTGGTAAATCTGGAATATAATTAGCGACCTTTAAAATATTAAATAATTAAAAAATAATTCATATATGAAAACTATATTATTATTATATTTAGTTTATATATATATATGTATAAAAATTTCTTGCTTCTCCATCCTTGCTTTACAAAGTCGATGCGTCCTTATTCGATATAATGATCGACAGAAATAATATAGACTTTAACGAAAAATACTTAAAGTTCAAAATGCAACAATCAGGACGAACCAACGCACAGAAGCGAAGCGATTTATGAATTACAACTATTTAAATTTATTAATTTTATTACTATCGCAAAGCTTCGTCGAAAATCATCGTGAGTTTTCACTAAATTTCACAAAACATCGCGATTTTAAACGCTTTTCGCGCGCAAACAGGATAAATAGAAGGTTAGAAAGCCCAAAAGTAATGTTATTATCATACCTTTATTATAATTATGCTAACAGTTATATGAGATATAGCACCACGTAAATCATTATTAATAAGTTATATTAAACCATTTCAATCTTTATATACTAAAAGGAATAAGTTAAGGGTAATGTGAAAAATATTTACTAATATATCTTTTTTTTATTTGATTCTTGACAGAAACTAGGGTTTAGACTTGAGTTTTACGGTTGAATAAACCGATAAGTAGTTGAGACGTTCAAAATAACACAAAGATTTATAATTTTTTTTGGTTAAAGATATTATTTATAAGATTTACTACAACGCAGAGGTATTACTGAAGGCTTTATGATAAAATGAATATAAAATTGTATCAGAATATAAATAAGAAACGTCGCTGTAATAGCTTCATGTCGAACTTTGATAAGATGGACCTCAACAAGTACTCTATTTGGCTTATTAAAAAAAAATAAGAAATTGGTTAAAAAAAGTATTATGGCTATCCAGCTGCTATATTTTAATTTGGTTTTTGTGTTGCAAATTTTTTTGTTTATATCGTGCAGAAGAATTGAGTACATTAAGGATATGAAAATATTTCTATATTTTTTATTAATAGGAAGTACAATGGGCGAGAGGGAAGAGTTTTAATAACATACATAGGCTATCAGTAAATCAACTAAATTATAATGATTACTACTCAATTCCTTATAAATCGAAAATTTTGGTAATCGTAAAAACATACCGGTTTTTTTAACCGATGCTGATACTGATATTTTGACATAAGCACCAAATTGTTAGTAAATAATTTGCTGGTCGGCTTTTAAGTTATACAATTAAGGTGTTTTAATTTATCAATGGGAACGAATTATAATTCATAAACTTTTATTCTTAATTAAGTAAATTCAAATACTCCTGCCGATATTTGAATTCCAAGATAATTTAGAGAAATTAATAAAAAGAAATGGATATGTTGGGAGAAACTGAAAATGTAACTGAAAGTGTTGATCAAAAAACAGGAGAAATTGCCGATGTTAAACATTGTTTGGACGAAAAAACTGAGATCCGGTTAACTAATGAAGAATTGGCCGAATCTGCGATGGAAGAGGTTGAACAAAAGTTGGACGTTAGTGAGGAAGGTGCAACATTCCGGAAGTACAGCTTACGTAAAGTCAAGTAAGATGAACGATTAATTAATTATTAAAATATATGTCATATATAAATGTAATTATTTGATATTAAGTGTAGTTGTTGCTTTAATACAATTAAAACTAGAGTAAGAAGTTGAAATCATCACACTGCCTCAAAAATGTTTAGTAAAATGAAATTACTGTAGTTACTAACAAGACATACACTATTTTTTCTACTAGCTAAAAGACTCTTATGCAATCCAATATGTACATATCCAATGTACGAATTAAAATTTTGTTTTATCAAAATATCTTTATTTTTACTAAATTGCCATCTCAAGTTAGTTTTTATTTCATCTTTTTAACAAACAAGTTATTTATAACACATAAATACAATAATTGCAGGCCCGTAATCAAACCTTTTCAACACTACATCAAAATGAAGAACCAAAATATTAAGTGTGAGTTTGAAGATCAGTATGTGTGTGGTGTGTGCTCCAAGATATGTCCATCATCATCATCTTACAACACACACATGAAGCATCATTCAGTTATTACTGAGTATATCTGCTCACAATGTGATGACACCTTCAAAACTAACAGACAATTGTGTGACCACAAAGCCCAGTATCACAAGGATGGCTGTTTCTCATGCGGTAAATGCCAACTCGCATTCTCCGATCATTACACATACCTGCTCCATACATTCAAACACGTCAGAGCACCATACATTTGCCCCGAATGCCGGACATCTCTGACCAGTTATCAATCTCTGGCCGCCCATTTGAAGATTCACTTCAATGAGTTAGTAGAATGCCACATATGTCATAAGAAGGTCGGCCGGATGGGATTTGCCTCTCATATAAAAGATCACAAAGGAGGTATAGTGTGTGTGGAGTGCGGAAAGGTGTGTAACAATAAGAACAACTACGATTATCATTTAATTTCTCACACCGGAGTCAAGCCGTACCAATGTCTGTACTGCGGCAAGGGGTTCTCGAATGCCCAGCAAAGGAAGATCCATACCGCCGTCCATACTAATATAAGACGTTATAAATGCGACATCTGTCATCAGCAGTTCAAACAATACACAGATATGTTTCGCCACAAACAGGGACACGATGGAGTGAGGTTTATTTGTGACTACTGCGGGAAGAAGTTTAAACAGAAGCTGTCTTTAACCTACCACATACGGCTACACACAAACTACAGGCCCTACAAATGTCCTGACTGTCAATTATCATTCACTACTCTCACTAGTCTCAAATCACACGTGCAGTGGACTCATGTGTCCAAAACAAAGTTCAAGTGCCTTTCATGTAATGTAGGTTTCCGAGTTCATTATCAATACTTGAGGCATTTGAGATGTAACCGACATCTACGGAATACATTCAATGCAAAGGAAAAATGATGTTTCTTTAAATAAATGGATGTCATTCATTTAATAAATAAGTTGTAGGATTATAATTTTTTTAATTCACCCAATTAATATTAAGTCAGTGGTGGCCTAGTGGTTAAAAGGCCCGCCTCTCATGCATGAGGGCGCGGGTTCGATCCTGGCCCGGGCAAGTACCAATGTAATATTTCCGAGTCATATGTATTTTATAAGAGTATTTAGACATCACTGATTAATGCTGATTCCCAAAGAGGGTTTATGTCAGGCAGGTGGCCGGTCGTAAAAACTATTCACAACATGTAACTTGTAAGGCAGACAGGCTATAGCTGGGAAATTGCCAGGTACAAGATAGTATATGAAATTGAGATTTTAAGGTCAAAAACATATACATATATATGTAAAAGAAATATATAAAAGTATAATTTTATTATGTTAAACCTATGTACAATTATTGATGGCGTACATTACAACACTTTCATATATAAATCACTTATATAAAGTTACCCATTAGTTATATTTCACTTTTCTTCCATCATGTCACAGATTTTATAATTTTATTATGGTCGCCAAACTAAGTACCAGTTTTTTGTTATTCAAGAAATTAACCCTTTACAATATGAGAGGAATCTCTATGTCAAGTTAACAAAGACATAAACTAAGTAATATATATAATAACTCTGATGAAACATCAACACCCTATATATACTATTAAGGATGTTCTAAATAACTATAAACTAATTCTATTCTTCACATGAAGTTATCAGTCTTTAACTGACATACAATCAGTTCAAGCTCCTTTGTAGGACAAAACCATTTTCTACAGGCTTTGAAGGTGTACTTGAGCATCACTTCAATAATCTTAAATGTCAGGCAGTTTCATATGTACAGGCAGATCGAGTGGATCTGACCTAATCCTAGAACACTCTGTCCTGGTAGCCCGAGTCCTGGGCTTGAGCTGGCTTGGGCTGCGCCCCCGGCACGTGGTGATGATGCCTCAGATGTCCGGGCCTCCTCGGTGGAGCTAAGTATTCAAACATGGACTGTGTGTGTTGTGCTAACATATTAGCCAGGTCGCAGGGCATAGGGTCGGTCCAGAAGAAGTCATGGTTGAGAGCCGTGTCTGCATCAAATCTGAAATTCAAAGACAAAGATAGGAGACATATTTCATACTATTTATTAAATCTATTTATTTGTTACCTCTTTGCGGGGTCCAACTGCAGTAGTTTGTCAAGTAAATCACAGCCGTATGGATCTTTCACATATGGCTTTAGTCTTTCCTACAGACAAAATACTTTATTAGTTGCGCAGTAGTTTTTTAACGATAACAAAAATATGAACATAGATATGTTAGTTTTGTCGATACATTTGTAGGTGATTTATGTCTCATTTAAACGAAACTAATATTTTTTATATATACTACGCGACTTTATTATTGATAAAAACTACATAATCCCTACGTATTGGCTGTGTAGACGGTAGTTTTTTACTGATCTTATCTGAAAAATATTAGTTTCATTTAAATGAATAAAACTCGCGAGAATCTTATGATTCATGATTATTATCACGATGAAGTCATGGTTATGATTTTTATCATTATTATTATCTTTTTCGAGTGTTTTTGTATAAGAAACCTTTAGTCCCGTACCTTAACTTTCCTCTTCTGTCCCTTCGGTAGTTCCATCTTAGTGTATAGATCCAGACTCTCTACTCCAGGCCACACATCGGGAGTACACGACCCACACAACTGGGATATGAGGATCAGCTGTTGTTGCTCTGTCGGACCCTGGACAATCATGATAGGAAGAGTAAAGACAGATGAATAGGGTCTTCAATATAATAAATAAATTAGAGTTATTATTTATATCACAAATTAGGATGAAACTTTTTAGCTTCCAATGTATTCAAAGTACGTGTGTCGGGTCCATTGTTGTAGTGAGAGGAGCTTCAACAGTGACTGGGACTTGCGACCCAGGTGTAGATTTAAGGTACCTCTATCTAATACTCGTTAAAGGCTCACCTCCACTGTCCCAGCTCCTCTCTCAACCACTTGAAAAGAACCTACTAGGACTGCCTTTGAAATATGTATTATCTTCCTAAAGTCGGCAACAGAGATTGTTGACAGAATAAGAAAGTAAAATGACAGAAAATAGGAGCTAATGAAATATCATTACAAGTGACACTATACTTTACCTATATACATATTATTACTTTCAAATTTTCCAATTGTGATGGCCAAGTTGATATTCATTTTCCAATTAATTTATATAATAAAGTATTGCATGAACCTGCATGATGGGAGAGCGTGTCCACATCTCAGCCATGATGCAGCCGGCACCCCACATGTCCACTGGAGGGCCGTAGTTACGGTCACCTACAAATTACTTTGGTTCAGACAACAAGTTAAAGCATACTACAATAGTGAAATACAATGATTTTGATGTTAAAATGCATTATTTTGTTATCTCTACTGTGTTTTTATGTTCATTTAACTAACCGAGTAATAGTTCCGGAGGCCTGTACCATAATGTGACAACTCTGTTAGTGTATTTGTTGGCTTGTCCTGATTTCGCCACACTGAAGGCCCTCGCAAGACCAAAGTCGGCCAGTTTCAGTATACCATTTTTAGTTATAAGCACATTGGCAGCCTTCATATCTCTGTGTAGGATTTTGTTGCTGTGTATGTAATATAAACCATTCAGAAGTTGTTGCATCACTTTCTTTATTTCTCCTAAACTAAATTTCACGTTAACATTCGATAAAAGTCCCGCCAAGTCGTGTTCACAGAAGTCGAACACTAAATAAAACGTCGATCTGTATTTGTTGTGTAAAGTAGCCTTAGTTCTGCATATTTCTATTAAATTCACAACATTTTCGTGTTTCAATAACTGTAATATTTTAATTTCTCGCAGGGCTGTGATCGGGAAACCTTCTTTTTCGTTGTCCATCAACACTTTCTTCATGGCTACAAACTTTTTGCTGCTATTCCTCGCACGAGCTTTGAACACCTCTCCGAAAGTTCCTTGACCGATTTTGGCAACTTTTTCGTATTTAGAGGACTCGTCGCAGAATGGAAAGTCAAAGTCCTCTATATACTTCTCTTTTTCCCTCATGTTGAGGATGGTTGAACTAGTACTTAACACTGGCGCAGGCTCCCGCGGAGCGCTGACGCCTTGCATTTTGGAAGCAATCTTGACGACTGTATAAAACTATACTCCTAATAAATTGTTTTCCTGTCGACTTTACACAAGTTTTATAATCTTTCCTATCAAAGAGAATAGAAAGTTATTTTAACTAATGTGGCATAACAGGAGAGACTCAATATAAACTTACAAGACGTCAAATGTAAATGACGTTCATATGATTGATAGACATGACACATGGATAAAATTAAAACATTTCTTTATAAAATTGGAGATCTCAGTTTTTAAGACTGCGATATAAATAATCTAGAATTTTTATATCTTACTTATTAATATTACAAGAATATTCAGAAATTCTCTTATAGCATCTAATGAACTCCAATTATAATTATAGTCAAATATTTTTAGTTAAGGACAACCCACTTCGCATAAAAGGTCGAAGAATTAATATCATTACCACCTGTCTCAATTTCCCAAGCAAGTATAAATAGAGAAAAATAGTTTAAAACTTTTATTCTAAAGATAAATAAATTTATCAGAGAAAGCGGTAAAAGATATAAAAATTACACAAATGGAAAAATATTGTTAACCAATACAAAATAGTATTGTAATAGGCATTGTAATTTCATCAAAATCTGATTAACTCCATATTATTAAATATATAGTGAACTTCAGGATCAAATATTTTATAATAATAAAAAAATATTTAAACCTACAACAAAGATATAATGATACAAGTTACTCTTATCACTTTTGTCGTCCTGACAGCGTCAGTTGTCACTAGCTCATGTCAATTGGCGAATAAATTTTTGAGTACAATATACAGTTGTTTTGCTTTCGTTTACAAATAATTCGGTGTTTTCCAAGTAAGTATTATTCGTAGAGTATTTAAAACTTTAATAATGATGATACATAACTCTATTAGAAGATTTAAGTGTTTAAATTGAATGCAAGTTGCAATATCGATCCGTATTTGGGGATGTAGGGCATTGCAAATATTGGTCGCCTTTCTATTGTTATCATTTGATGATAATATTGTGTTTTGAATTAAAAAGTTCTATGAACAGTTACCGCCCACTTTCTTTAATTTGTAAACTGAGGATAATCGTAAGTTAGCGAAGTAACAATTGACTTTAATGAACGTAATTTATATATCAAAGGTAAAAAATAATATCTCTATTTAATTGTATAATATTGCTGAGTCACAAAAAATGTGTTCAATAATTTTTGTTATATGCTGTTTTATAATTACAAGTATTTATTACATTCCTATGTTAATTTTATTTTATAAAAATGTAATAATTTTTTTTATTTCTGTTTTTATGGATAACATTTACAGTTATATTAATTGAATAAGAAAAAAAATACCGCTATTCTTAGATTTTTAAAATATACATAGGAAACTAAGGCAACTTTTGGAGTGTAGATGATGGTTGCCCAAATTAGTTCTTTAAAAATATCTTCAAGGCATACTGTTAGAGCTACAATCCATAGCCTCAGAATTAAATAACAAAATTGTTTTAACAACAATTGTCAAATTGAAGACATCACAGAAGATTTTGTATTTAAAAAATATCTGAAAAATACCATGTTTAGTTTATGAGTCTTTTTTGCACCACTGTTATCCTTATGAAATCTTTTTCCTACCTCAGAATGGCCAGTGAGAGCAGTTCCGCAGTCCTGGAGCTGAATGATGCGGACGCCACGGACACAGAGGCCCCGAGTGTGACCGACGACACACAGGAGCCCCCACCACTCATCATGGAACACGGATATGATATAGCTGTTAAGGTGTGAGGGGTCTAACACTGTGGTTAAGACGGAGAAGTTGAATGTAGCTTGTATATGTGTGTGTGGCTTATTATTTAACTTCACGTATGCTAGTACACAGAGTTGGATGAAATTTTTTAAATTACATAGATACATGGGATCCAATTTAATATCATTCAATTAAGTCAAGTTGTTGCATTATCATGACATAACAGTTGTATAGTGTCCCGTGATATATGTTATAGATGGCACTGATAGTTGATTGATTTATACTGTTTTAACATTTTAAATTTCTCTCTAAATCGGATTCCTAACTTGAAATGGACAAAGCCGTGGCCATAAACTAGTTCAATAATATTTATTCGCACAACTAATACATGTTCGTGTAATGTCTAACCATTCTATCTGTTCTTCAGGTGGATGCTCCCATCAAACAGTTGTCCACTTTGGAGACGTTCGTCACGTACAGGGTCCGCTGTACGTGCGCCCGGTGGGAGTCACCGCCTTACGTCAGGAGACGGTACAACCACTTTAAGGTGATATATCAATACATTATTAGCACATACTTCAAAGTAGGTCTTCAAAGCAATAGTAGGTCTTTCAAATTTGGTAGAGAGAGGAGCTAAGATAATTGAGGTGATCGTTTAACGCGTTAGATAGGGTTTCTTAAACCTACACCTGGGTCACAAGTCCCAGTCACTGTTGAAGCTACAACGATGGACCCGACACACGGACCGTGAATACATGGAATGATGAGAAATTATGACTCATATATAAGGAGTGTTGTTTATATAACGATACATATATCTCCCCCTGTCTATAGTTGCTCCACAAGCGCCTCTCATCGTCGCACCCCCTGACGGCCGTGCCCCCCCTGCCGCCCCTCCACTCGGCCCGCCAGCAGCTCGACCGCTACTCCCCGCCCTTCGTGGCGGTCAGATGTCTGGCGCTGAACGCATTCCTCGGTGAGTGTCGTGACACTAGTGTATAGTGTATAGTGATGTACCCGGTGTCACGTGACGTGTGTTTGTGTACAGACCGCGTCGCCAAACACCCGATACTCACACTCAGCGAGGACCTCAAGATGTTCCTCACTACACCTGACGAAGAACTGGATAAGGTATGTGTATTATATATATAGGTTTTTATTTTATTTTTTTTAGGGAAACAAACAGTATTAAAAAAAGGTTAATCAAAATAATACATATAAAAGTTCACAAACCAAAAAGCTTCCACCGATTACAATTTCATTTGGAGCATAAAACAATAATAATAATAATAATAATAATAATAATAATAATTTTAAAATAAATTAATTACGAATTACAAGCCTTACTAATTTCTTTCCTTATATTACTTTTTGTGCACATTGTTAAATCTATGTATATTAGAAAAACATTTGTTATATTTCTGACAGGCACGGAAAATAAAAGTATTTCGAGCATATTTAGTATTTAGTATTTTTTTAGTTTAAAGAAGTTTATTTCCAAAAAGAACAAAGTTCGCTTATTTGTAAGCGAACTTTGTTTTGGAAATTTTAAAAATTATAACTACAATTAAAATTACAAATAATAAATAGTAGTGATATTAAACAAGATTGTGAAATCATCTAATATATGGGTTCTTAATCGTTTTTTAAATATATTTAAAGATTTTGAATTGACAACACTTAGAGGCAAAGAGTTATACAGCTGTGCTCCTTCAAATGAAATAGTTTTAATGCCGTACTTGGTTCGAGTTTTAGGTGTTTCTAGGTTATATCTGTTCCTTGTGTGGTAAGAATGGGTTTTGGTTTTAAAAGTAATTTGAGAATGAGTAAGGTTTAGGTAATATATATGTTACAAACACACACACACACACACACACACATATATATAAATCGGGTGCTTCATTTCCAGGTGTTGAAGAGCGATACTAGTGCTTTGAACCTGTGGGGACTGAGCTCGGCGCTGTACGGCGGCGGGGGAGGGGGAGGGAACAAACAGACCAACGGAGCGCGGTGAGATATAGTTATTTAGTTCAGTTCCTAAACTTTCCAATCAATATTCATAATAAGAAATGTTCTCCAACAGCTGAAGTTACTCAGCAGTCGTTTTAATTCAAGTACTATCTCTATAACATTAATATATTTTATGTCTGTTCAGTGTGAAGGACCCCGAGTTCAGTTCAGCGGCGGAGTACCTGTCGTCGCTACAGGTCAAGCTGACCTCTCTGTGCTCGCTCACGGCCAGCCTGTACAAGGGGACGGTCGCGCTCAGCAACGAACTGGCCGGGTCGGTACACGGGATATAGTGTTGTATATATATAATATAAGAGAACATTGGAGATGGTGTTCAGGTACTGATGTAGTTTTACAACATTGTTTTGGTTACCAACCGACAGCGCCATCTGTTGTCTGTTATATAATACTATATACTGATTACGACTTTATTACAAGTTATTTTTAGGAAATTAACGAAAGTCTCTTTACATTAAAGAGAATTAGTGTTTATTAAAATATCGTATATATTTTCAGTATGCGTCGCGTGTGTGACGCGTGGTCGTCGGGCGGCGGGGGCGCTGCGAACGCGGCTGCGGCGGTCAGTGCGGGGAGCGCCGCCGCCTCGGCCGCGCGCGCTCGGGCTCCGCTGCGGTACCGCGCCACGCTGCCCCTGCTAGCAGCATACGCGGGCGCTCAGGCCGACAAGATCCGCGCCCGGGACGCCTTACACGCGGCGCACGTGGCGGGCGCCGGGCCCGAGGTCCACAACCGGCTGGAGCAGGCCTCGGAGGCCTTGAGGGCGGACCTCGCGGACTGGCTGCCCAAGACGAGGGCCGACATCAAGAGCGCGCTGTTGGAACTCGCAGACAGGCAACTAGGAGCGGCCGCCGCGACGCTGAGGGGCTGGGAACGAGCGCTTAGTATGGCCGAGGATGATGGAGTCGTGTTTCAGACGGTATCGCGCGCCGCACTCAGCAGCAGGCACCGCGACGATTACAAACTAGAGGACGTTGACCTCTCCTCATGATGACGTCACGAGCCGTCCATACAAACATTATTTATTAGTGCCGGTCAACATAATATATACCCTCAACAGACTCATATCACTCGATCATAATATATATAATAATAATAATGTAAGGTTGTCTGTATATATAGAATATAGAGGTTTACAGTATAAAGACTTTTATTGAGAGTTGTGATGTTACAATAATTAGAATTGTATCCTCAGTGTTTGTAAACTACAAATGTGATCTTCTACATGTTAGGGGAAGTTCATGAAATACGTGTGATATTTGAGGGGGAGGGAGCGAGTCAAATCTCATCTAATCTTACGTTAGAGGGGAGTCTCGGTAAATATCACTTAATTTTTTCTGAATGAAGCAAAAAAAATTATACTATTTTTGTCCATTTAATCCAGATTGTACATATAAGATTTAATCTTAAGCGTTATCATTATACGATTAAAATCATCCCCTAATTCGTTAAAAAAAAAACAATTCTTTATACTTCGAAGTTATACATTTACTAACTGTCAAGCCACTATCCTCAATGAAAAAATCTCACGTGAGATTGGAGGGAGGGGGTTGTATAAAATCTCACGACATCTGACCACGGCTTTGTCAGAAATTTCAAAAAAAAACCTCACGTAATTTATGAATGCTTTCTTATGCCCCTCGAAGGTTGATAAATTCATTTCACAAGAAATAAAACAATTGCTACTGATATAGTAATTTATTATAAAATAAAACCATTTTCTATCACATAAACAAATAATAAATAAATCACATATACTACAGCATGTAGGAACAGTTTTAAACTATTTCAATTTGTGCTATTACATATATCGGACAGAATCATTGCGCGATCACTAACAGTGCGTACCCTTACTAGTTACCGACAGTTTGCTCGTTAAACTACACACTCGGCGTTAATTCAACGATGCGAAACTATTACAGTAACTATCTAACTTATCACATACATATAATATCAGGCGTCTATTTCTGTGCATCGTCAAACAAGTCCCTGAGCACGGTGTACGCGTCCTCCCAGGGCACGACCCGCGCGCTCACTGACGCCGGATCGTTCTTGATGAGCGTGTGGAGGGGGAAGCCGCTGCGGGGGTACACCGTCGACTGGAAACAGATGTACATACACTTAGTACTGGTGTTATTGATAAAGAAATGGTGGGGATATGTAAATTCATTAAAACATATTTAACTTATTCTGATGAAACTTTGCAATAAGTTCAATAATAATACTAATCGATAATATATCGTCGGGGATAGTGGAAATCCGTGTGATTAGTATTGGATAATTCCGCGCATCTGCATTGATAGTGGAAGAGCAGTATGGCCATTATATACAACCAATTTAAAAAATGTAGTGTTTGACATATGTTTGTGTTCTTTTTAGTCACGTGACTACATACATACCACATTTTTATTTTTACAAAAAACCGTTCAATAGTTTTTATATGAAAAATTTTCATCTAATATATAATATTATCAGAAGATTTATAAAATCTCCACAGATTTCATTCTTTTTTACATTTATAATAAAATAATTAGTCTTATTGCTCATTAACGTTCTCTCTCTAGAGCTAGCTTATATGAATGCGTCGATTCATCCAACATCTTTGTAATTAATGATCACATGTTGGTGACGTCATCACAGTGACGTCATGATCATCAATACGACGAAATATAATTAAAAACCTTTACACTTAGTGTATGTCCACATCATTAAAATGAGAATACGCTATACAAATACTATATCTTTGAAGCCGGTTTAATCCCGTGATCTTTATATATGTGTTACTATATTTAAAACCCTATTTTAGGATATGAGTCGCGGTTTTTATTTACTCATCTTGAAGACTTTCATCTCGTGTTGATGAAAAACATTAAAAATGTTACAGAAATAGAGGACTAATTATAGTTTAGTTCAATAATATACCGGTCGTAGCTCAGAATATGTTGGTGCTAAAATATTGTTTCATTCAATATATTTAATCGAACATGTGCTGACTTGATCGTGGAAGTACCACATCTCACAGAAGATCTGCGTCAAATAGTCTATAATGGCTGCGTTTTGTATGATGAATGAAAGAGACGGTTGCCCTTTCCCTTTTCCCACCATCTCATCTCCCTTTTCAACAAATAAAGGTGGTAACGCATACCCTAAATTATTTTATGGATGTCTCTAGGTGACGGTACTACCTCCATTAGGCTGTTCGCTAGTTTGACCATTTGACATAAAAAATATATCGTCATCATCATCAGCCTATCAGAGCTCAGTTGAGCAAAGGCCTCTTCACACATGGAGAAGGTTTGAAGAAGAAACAAATATATATAGTGTTTATACTCACAGTGGAGGGTAAGTGCTTCGCTGGGCAGTAGTCATTCCTTCCATCCCCACAGTACACGAGCCGGCGGTAGCTCCGGCCCTCACAGAACTGGTTGAGGGCCAGCGTCTTACACAGGTTGGTGGGGCACAGAGTACACGAGCCCTGCCTCATACACGGCTCGATGTACAGACGGTCGTTGTTCCAGAAGGCCTTGTTGGTCACCACCGCTGTCACCATCTCCTGTTATGAGAAACGGTAGACTTGATCGAACAGTAAGTATAGGTACTTACCACAAATTTTTATATATGTATAGAGCGTTTGCAGTTTTTAATTAAAAAACCTATACAATATTATCAAGTTAAAAGATATTTTAACATATTAATATACAAAAGTGATAATTTTAACAGTAACAAGTTCGCGACTTCGTCATAAGTATGCGAATCTCGTCATAAGTAATATATGTATAGCTGACCGGGTGAACTCTATTCCGTCTTCAATAACCCGGTATATTGATATTTATTAAATTTTTCCTGTTTCAATCGAACAGAATGATTGACATATTAGTTAGTTGTCAAATGTAATGTCAAAAAACGTTTGTATGGGAAATAGAAAAGGGCTGTTTTTAGGGTTTTCCCGGAAATGAATAAATTTTTTTCAGCTTTTGATCCTTCCCTAAACCTCCACGAACCTTTCAAGACTAAGATAAGATAAATCCGTTCAGCCGTTTTCGAGTTTTAGTGAGACTAACGAACACCAATTCATTTTTATATATATAGATTAGGTATATTAGTGCAGAGTTAACAAAAACTAAAGAGAACAGCCTTCAGATAAACTTCAATCAGATGTTCACAAGAACCAATTAGAGCATCCAGCGACCTTGGACGGAAGAAGTTACGTCACACGAAGAAAAACATGCCAAATGCCAGCTGGCAACTTATATGGAGGGTTCCGTAGATATATATATTAAAACTAGAATACGGAACTGATATTTTTTGTATGGGAATATATATTTTGTTCCTTTAAAGTATTTTGCTAATATAATTGCAACAATACATGCGAAAATAAACCTGACTAATACATTATAATGGTTCATTAGATACACTCTGGTGACAGACGGACAGACGAGTATAAGAAACAGAGACCCGTTTTATTATTTTGGGTGCAAACCTTAAAAATATCTTTATAACGCAGAAAAAATCAATTATATGGGTTTTTACATAAATTATACGATAAAGACACTTGACTGTTATATAATAAATGGAAGTAATTTGTTCGGATACTAAACGTTTTTTATTATTTTATACATATCTATACTAGCTTTTCGCCCGCAGCTTCACCCGCGTGGAGTTCGGTTATATCGCATTTCCAAGAGAACCTTACAAAAGTCTGGGATAAAAACTATCCTATGTTCTTTCTTAAGGTCAACTCTATCTCTGTACCAAATTTCATTAAAATCAGTTCAGTGGTTTAGGCGTGAAAGCGTAACAGACAGACAGACAGAGTTACTTTCGCATTTATAATATTAGTAGGGAGTCTGACTGTTCGATTTCTTTTCAACAACCGTGATCACGAAAACGAGATAAAATTATATGTCATGAATAAAGCGTAGTCCGAAAAGCTCAGTTTTATTAAAATGAATACACGAGAAAATTTTAATCATTATGTTATCTACAACCAAAAAAAAAAAAACATCACGTCTGGTCTGCCCGTGATCACGGTTGTAAAGTAACCGAAACGTCGGGAGTATGTAGTTTATAACAATAAAATACGCGTAGTATACGAAAATATTAGTTTAATTTAAATGAATACTAACGAATCTTAAACATAATTATTGTTACATAACATTGATATTTAGAAAAACCTGTGATTCATTCCGGACTAATTCCACACAAGATGAAGTCATTTCTCGTATTTCCCGTTCCACCTTTCATAATAATTCAAAAACATCCGACTAAAGGGTTCTTTGTATGTATATGTGGATGAAGAAATAAATGAACATCGCCGGGACAACATCGTTGTATGTATAAAATATATAACTCTTGACGCCGCTGACTCCGCGGAACGAACACCAAGCCGTGTGAACCAGAAGATTCCTGATACACACAAGCTATGGAATGGTATTGCTATCATAACATCGGGTCAATCATGTAGTCTTAGGTGTAGGTTAAAGGTTTTGATATGTAATTCTAATAATATATATATAAGTAAGTTTCGTAGTTTTTAATTTGTTTCTGTACATCGTACGTACGTAACGCGAACAAAAGTCGCAGACATAAACTAGTTATAAATATAATTGTAGTTTCGTTTTTGTATACATTATAACTACTTATAATTACTTCTATTCAATATAAATGAATCATTATTTTTTTTCATCTACTGACGTCTTCATCACTTGTATTATAATTGACATACACACACACACACATAGAGAGAGGAGCTTGTACAGTGGAGATGAGCGTTTAACACGTTAGATAAGAGCCCCATAAACCTACACCTGGGTCACAATTCCCAGTCACTGTTGAAGCTCCTCTCACTACAACGATGGACCCGACACACGCACCGTGAATATATGGAATGATGAGAGGTTTCGTCTCTCTATATATATTAAACCTACACCTGGGTCACAAGTCCCAGTCACTGTTGAAGCTCCTCTCACTACAACGATGGACCCGACACACGCACCGTGAATACATTGAATGATGAGAAGTTTCGTCTCTCTATATATATTAAACCTACACCTGGGTCACAAGTCCCAGTCACTGTTGAAGCTCCTCTCACTACAACGATGGACCCGACACACGCACCGTGAATACATGGAATGATGAGAGGTTTCGTCTCTCTATATATATTAAACCTACACCTGGGTCACAAGTCCCAGTCACTGTTGAAGCTCCTCTCACTACAACGATGGACCCGACACACGCACCGTGAATACATGGAATGATGAGAGGTTTCGTCTCTCTATATATATTAAACCTACACCTGGGTCACAAGTCCCAGTCACTGTTGAAGCTCCTCTCACTACAACGATGGACCCGACACACGCACCGTGAATACATGGAATGATGAGAGGTTTCGTCTCTCTATATATATTAAACCTACACCTGGGTCACAAGTCCCAGTCACTGTTGAAGCTCCTCTCACTACAACGATGGACCCGACACACGCACCGTGAATACATGGAATGATGAGAGGTTTCGTCTCTCTATATATATTAAACCTACACCTGGGTCACAAGTCCCAGTCACTGTTGAAGCTCCTCTCACTACAACGATGGACCCGACACACGCACCGTGAATACATGGAATGATGAGAGGTTTCGTCTCTCTATATATATTAAACCTACACCTGGGTCACAAGTCCCAGTCACTGTTGAAGCTCCTCTCACTACAACGATGGACCCGACACACGCACCGTGAATACATTGAATGATGAGAGGTTTCGTCTCTCTATATATATTAAACCTACACCTGGGTCACAAGTCCCAGTCACTGTTGAAGCTCCTCTCACTACAACGATGGACCCGACACACGCACCGTGAATACATTGAATGATGAGAGGTTTCGTCTCTCTATATAGGTATTTGTACAATTTCACGTAGTCTGAGAGACATTTCTGAATATAACATAACTTCTAATTTAGGAATACCTACGGTTCATAAAAAAATAGTATTTAATGAATACAAAATAAAAAGAATTAAAACGACTTACGTACGAGAGTACTTAGCTTTGGAATTTAATGAATTCCACAACAAATAGTAATTAATAATAATTTATCACGACAAACATAATGAAAACCAGTTAATTGATTGATATAATGTTGTTTTTATAACAAGCCGGTATTTGCACTGGTCTACTGGCAAAATCCGCAGGGCTAACAGCATTAGGTACACATTACAAAAAAAAAATGTTTTCTGTAACGTAGGTAGGGTGGATATTTTTTTACTGTGTGTCAGTTTTTCTTCTTTCAGTTCTCTCTTAGAGATAAATACCTACCTATAAACACTGCATTTTCCCATTTTTTTTCCTAATAAAGTATGCAATACTTTATTAAATTTACAATCTAGGCTATTGACTTATAAGTAAATAAATTTGACCTAAATTACTACATTAACATAATATGTTCTAAGAATGCGTCCAATAACACGTACTTAGTCTTTGTTAAGGAGAAGACACTTTGTTCATCATCATCAGCCAAAAGACGTTAACTGCAGGACATAGGCCTCCCTCAAGACATGACACTTTGGTCATGTGTTCTTAATACGCGTCACTTAACACTGAATATATTTGTCAATGAAAAACACTACACTAGCTGATTGCGGCATTTTCCCATTTAAATCTTATAATTATCTTTCATCCTTCCTCCCATACAACACTCAGTCTTCCAGTAACCAACCTTCAAGCCGTGTGTGTCGAGCCAGTGATGCACGAACACGGTGTTAGCGTCAGTGAGCACCAGCACGTGCCAGCCCCGCTGATGCAGCTCCTTGAACAGCTCCTGTATGCCGGGGGTCGGCCTCATGGACGAGATGCTGGCGAGGATGTCGCTCGGGTGGAGACCCGCCGAGTACGCGTGCTCGAACACCTACACACAGACACGTGGAGCTTGAAACGGGCTAGATAGATGAATTGAGGCTCGTATTGGGACTAGATAGATGAGTTGTGTTAGCACTAGATACTCTTTTCAATCTAAATTCCTATCATCAGTACCTTCGCGTCAATCCATTTGCTTTGAACCAAGACGCGTCTGTTTTAGTCTTTAGAATAAACTTGAATTTATTAATTTGTTATATTCACTGAACAAATTATACTGTCAAATAATTACATAAAACTCTTTAATTAATCCCAAACCCTCGTCATCTTAAGACTTGGAGAAGATCATAGACTCTCAAAGTATAACTTCAGCTAATCAGATTTCTATCAAAGTTTTACGATCCTACAAGATTGTAGATAAGAAAAATCACATTGGAAATATCATGAAAGTATTGATTACTGTATTTAACCAACTCCGAATAAAAATATTGATGGGTTTTTAATAAAACAATTATTATTATTTTGTAATTAGTAAAAAACTTTAATTCACTTGTGATGTTCACAAACGTGGCGGGAAAAAAGAATATAAGACAGCAAAGATAATATTAAACTTCACAAAAACTCGTAAATTCTTAAAATTTAAATGTGGATATTAATAAATACAATTAAGTTTTGCTTAAACACTTCTATCGGTCGTCTGAATTCTTTATATGGGTATATACAAAAAATAATTACTGAAAAGTCTAAATATATAAAATTCTCGTGTCACAATGATCGTTCCCGCACTCCTCCGAAACGGCTTGACCAATCCTCATGAAATTTTGTGAGCATATTGAGCAGGTCTGAAAATCGACCAACATCTATTTTTCGTAACTCTATGTCATAAGGGTTGTTCACCCTTAATTTTATGATTTTATTTATTTATAGTTGTAGCATTAAAAAATACATACAACCCAAAATTTTTACTATTATATCACCAACCCCTACTTTCTAAATGGTAAAACAACGTTTGCCGGGTCAGCTAGTATATATATTTTCAATCACTCTCGCTACAAAGCCTTGAAAATGCAACAATTAAATTATTACTCATTTCGATAGTTTAAAAGTGAACAGGAAAATTCCAAGTATTTTTAATATAAGTGACGTAACAGTCTAATTCTTTCAAATATATTTCCCTGTTTCCTTCAGCTTGGCGTTCTGTCAACTCTCTGACACTGACCCGGCCAAGGTCGAGCACAAACGCTAACTTTCGATTTAAGATAAAATTTTCGATAAATGATTCATAACTCGTAAAGTATAGAAATGTTCCATAACATTTTATAGAGCATTACTTTCTTATACATTATATAAAAAATATTTGTTTTAGAACAACAATCAAATATATATAATACAAGTTCAATACTAAGAAAAGGATACCGTCTAAGAACGAAAAATATGAGTATTTTTCTTGCATTTATCTAGATTAATGAATTTAGATCATGTTTTGTCTTTAAGCTACGTACGACTACGAATCGTATTGAATATAGAAGAAAGATACGAACAAACATACATACATACATACATTTATAATAATTTAATTTTTTTGTTAAGAAAACTTATATAATCGTACAGTATAGGACTTTCAATAAAGGTTTATATCGAAATAATAACTAAAAATAACGCGTTAAAGAATGTATATTTACTCTCAGCATTTTCAGTACATACACATATAGTGTAACTACCACCACATATACGTCACGTATTCAAGGTGGTAGAGCCTAGCTGTGGTCAAGTTACTACATCTCAAACATGAGCTGGCTCGACTGAGGAAGTACCACCCTCTCACAGAAGATAACACAAAGTAGTCTTTAATGGCTGCGTTTCGAGAGAGTGAGAGAGACGGTTGCCCTTTCCTTTTCCCTCCTTTTCCTGTCTCTCTCCCACAATCAAGTCCACAACATCCCTTATGTTACAGATGTCCATGGAAGACGATGGCTACCTTTCATCAAGTAGACCGTCTGCTCGTTTGTCAACTTTGATATATAAAAAAGACAGTAACCAGTGTTTATACATACATCAAATTTAAATATATCGTGTTAAAATCACACTCTTAGTTAGTTTACTTAGATGAGAGTTAAACAACTTGATTTAGCTACAAAGGGCTATGGTTTCTACAATCAGTCCAAAAAATAAATATATTCTTACATATTCCTAATTTCTTCATCTAATTATAAGACGGACAGATCCGTACATCGCAATTACTTGTATGTTATTATCTAAGATGAGTGATGTTTATCAAACTGCATTGATTGTACACAGGCTGCAGCCCATGACAAACAAACATACACTAGTGTAAAACAACACCATTATAGAATTATTAATAACACAAGAAGATACAGTAGCTATATGTATATATATGTATATTGTGGAAAATAAGTTTAATTATATCTACTTATAAATATAGGAAATAATCAAATAAATTGTATTTTTATTAACTATTGCTTACATCTTGAAACATTACATTTATTGAAAAACAGCCAATAAAATGAAAATGAAATACAGCCAATGAAACATATGTTCATTCTTTTGTATAACAAATAAAATAAGTAATAAAATGCCATAAAAAATCTGATTATATTTTCAAAGCAAAACATTTATTTTTTATTAAATTATTATGGAAAATTTTTAATTTAATATACATATGTATAATTCTCATTAGTTTTGATATTTAATATATGGCATAATAACTAGAGAATTCAAGTTATTTTTACATAATAGTCGGTAATCATATAATATTTACATTAAATAATTTAATTTTTCCAGTATCGGTAAAATGTTTGACATAATAATGAAAAAAATTAGTATAAAGTGTAATTACATATTTAATAGTTTTTTATTCGGAGTTTTATTTAAAACTATAAAATTTTATATACTTACGTCGCTCATGTACGGGGTCCAGTCCTGGTTGGTCACTTCCCATTCTGGCGGCGGTTTTTTTTCACGTAATTTATTAATAATAGTATTATCTGAATCGTCCTGAACAATCGTACGATCGAAATCAAACACCGCTAAAGACGACATTTTTAAAATCCCCGGCCGCACTCACTCGTCCGACAGTCGGCAAGCAACTGAACGTCTTTAAAACTATTCTATACATATCGGTTTTGTCATAGGAAACGGAAATTTTACAGATTTAACACAAATATTCTCACGATTTTACATAATAATTTCAGTTTTGACGTTCCCTTTCAGCTGACATTGACATTGATAATGAAATAGTAATGACGATCTATATATATTATTAATACTTTCTATATGCAATAACATAAAATATTATTTAATAAATCAGTATTTTAAAAATATTGTTAAATTTTTGATTTATATGTCCGTAATAATTTTCTTTACTTTTTTATTTTTATATTATCTGTGGATAAAAAAAATAAACGTCAGATAACAAATTCAGATAAAACCTAACGTGAAATTGGAAAGAGGATTTTATTTTAATAAATTATTATAAAAATGGCTTCACTTAAAATATATTCAGTTGGGAGACTAGCTAAATATGTCACAGAATCCTCGTTACTTAATATAAGATCCAGTATATGCAGGTATGAAATTTGTTAAGTAACAACCTAAAATTTATTTACTTCACATATATTATTCAAATTCGAATATTATATAATTTGTGATTCATTTAAATTAAAATATAAAAACTATTCATTTCATCATATTTTGTCAAAATTTTAGTGATTTTATTTAACATTGAATATGAACGTAAATTGCATCATTTTTACATTATTCGCCTCACTCTATTTCAATACTAAAGTCATTATTAACGTATAAAGACGAAATCTTCCAGAAGTTCAGTCCACAAATACAGCACAGAAGAGAAGGCAGCTGAACCAGAACCTGAAAAGAACTTGCCGGCCTCCATCGAGGAGTGTCACAAACAAATTGAGAGTCTGACTGCTGAGGTTAACAGCTTCAAGACACAGGCTAAGGAGTATGAGGTGAGAAATGTTACTTTAACTATATAACAAATACAGTATAAACATTAACATGTCTCCTATAAGATTAAGCAATAATTATTAGCATTTTATTAAGACTTAAATCCATCTTAAGTTGTGGTGGATTGATGGTTAAAGACTCGCTTATCATGCATGAGGGCACGGGTTCCAAACCTAACAAGGACCAATGTGTTTGTTCCGAGTCATATGTACTGTATAAGAGTATTTAGACATCACTGAAAGATGGTGAAGGAAAACTTCTTCTACCTGAAAATTTCCCAACTTTAGCCAGGGTCTGCCTTACATGTTGTGAGTTATGCCTAATAGTTTTTACGACCGGTCTCCTGCCTGACATCAATAAAGGAAAACATCGTGAGGAAACCTGGAGTTATAATTTCAAATTATAAGTTTGAAATTATCAACCCATCTTGAGCAAGCGTGGTGATTAATGCTCAAACCTCAAATCTTTTCCATGTGAGAAGAGGCCTTTGCTCAGCAGTGGGTTTTGATAGACTGATGATGAAAACCATCTTCAGAATATTATATTTATTAAAATTTTGTTACAGTGAGCATATAAGTGAGTAAGTTATAGTTTAATCTTTAATTGTTATGTTTCCAGGACAAGTACAAGCGAGCGTTGGCGGACGGAGAGAATGTGAGGCGTCGCATGATGAAGCAGGTGGAGGACGCCAAGTCATTTGCTATACAGAGCTTCTGCAAGGATCTGCTCGATGTGAGAATGTTTTCTTTTATATCATAGGGGGCAAAGAAACAGGCTAGACATCTGATTTTAAATGGTCATTGCCGCCCATGAACACTCGTGGAGCCAGAAGGCACCAGAGTGTGTTGCTGGCCTAATTATATTAAGATCTTAAAATGTTATATGAAAGGTTGACAAAGTTTCCAGACATATATTTAATTTTAAATATTCTTATATTTAATAATTGTTTAACTTAAGGTAAAGTCACTAATGCCCAACACTTTAAGGAAAACACTATGTTTAAATGATAATAATTATATATTTATTAAACAAAACAATTCCAGATTTTTTATAGGAACACAGTGTGTCTTAAAAAATTATCTTTAGTAATAAAATTTCAAATATTAATTACATATTTTGAATTATTATCAATAAAAAAATATATATTATCTTAACCACTAATAGATGACATCACAAAAAACGAATTTTCTAATAGCAGACAGTCAAATGCACTAATACTTGACATGGACTTAATGTTTAGATGATATTAAATTTTGAGGCTGTCTATGGATTAGGTCTGGGTTCCGCTTTAAAAAACTGCTGTACCATCTTTTAGCAGGCCTCCCATTCTTAAGAGGAGTTTCTAAATTCAAATCATCAACAATTTTTTTCACACTATCTTGTAAATTTTCTTTGCCTATTGAAGTTATTAATTATTCCTAAGTTCACCATAGCTTTGGCCCACTCTACAAGCAAAGCTATTCTATCATCAGAGATGTAGCATGTTCTAGTCATTTTTCGTTTTATTGGTGTTTACCAGTGGCGGCTGGTGGATTATCAAACTGGTGGTGCACTTTACTAAAATATTAAAATTAGAAAATGCTACAAAACAACAATTGATATAAAATATGTTTATTTTTTATACATTAATTAATGCAACGACATTTTTCCGAAGCGAAATGTTCATACACCTATTTATTAAAATCGGGTATTGTTTGAATATTTTTTTTTAAATTCAATACTAAGCACAGAAAGTACATTTAGAAAGAGCAAGGTATTTCGGAGAAAAGTTTTGATTCTTTTCAATTCCAATTCGTCATACATCGGGTGCTCTCGGTAATCTTCGGCCGCTCGTGCGGCACTCGAGAACCGACTCATTACTCGGTACATTTCTATGAACTATCTTTTGTTTCACGCGCCAGGCGTATTAATGCGTGTCTCATACAAGATGTATTAGGAGTCCTCGTGCACTCGCCGAAGCGCACGATATATTAGTTTAGTAAAGCGCTCAAACTTTTTGACTATAATTAGAAATTTATTTTTTTATATGTTTTTGTATGTTTAAAAAATAAATATTAAAATGGTAATTTAAAAATAAAGATGAAGTAATATTTTGTAATTTTTAAATCTTTTGAATTGGTGGTTCAGCGCACGAGTGCACTTAAGGTACAGCCGCCACTGGTGTATACCCTTTACTTTATTCAGCAGAGTTACCATCAGTACCCCGAATTTTTTGAAGCAGTTGATGTCGGAACTCCTCGTCTGTATTCTTGAATAGCGGCTTCCATATCAGCTTCAGAGTAACGAAACATCTATCTTATTATTAGTGGCATAATTATCAGTCTGGAACCTTAGAACCAATAATTGACATCACGTATACCCCAATAATAGACAAAAAAGCTGATATCTCTACAGTAATTTTTTCATTGGAAATAGAGTCCAAAATCGTGCCGAACGTAACATAAAAGTTTAATATCGGGAGACACCAATAGATGACTATATCGACTATTAGACGCATATCGACTATTAGATTTTCATTATTTTTTGGAACTAATAGTAGACATATATATCATAATTTGTTAGAAAAATATTAGAAAATACAAGAAAAGCACTTTTAACATTATCTTAACACCTCATTGATACTTTGACAAATGAAAAAAAGCATTTTTTTTTTATTAAATATCGGTTGAAAATACACCTTCAAGTTTCGGCATCCTTAACTAAAAAATTAAGAAATCAAGAAACACGCGCTCATTCCGTTACGTCTTTGAGAGATCTAACGATATTTTTGAAATTTCTTTTAGAAACTGTTGGGATTTTTTTGAGATTAATTCAAAGATGTGTCTAGGCATCTTACGATATTGTAATAAGAGTCATTTTACTAAAATTTGTTTTTAATACAAGAACATTCCTTCGAAGGTGTCATCCTTTAGGTCACTGTCTGGCATTAGTGATTTTACCTTAAATAAACCTAATATTCTCAGATTAATATATGTTATTTTATTATTTAAAACTATATACTCATAATGTTTCCATGAAAATATATAGTATCATTTAAATGAATACTCGGAAGTCTTAGACCTCAATAGTTTAATTAGTTCTCTATGTATGTATGTATATGTCCAGGTGGCAGACACTCTGTCAGCGGCTGCGGAGTCAGTCCCCGAGGGTGTGGAGGGTGAGGGCGCTCCGGCCGCCTTGAGGTCGCTCAGGGATGGACTCACACTCACACGAGCACAACTCACACAGGTAATCTTATACTGTACTTTTTATATACTGACCATGCTCTAACTTTATTTTAAGCTAATAGTCATCTTTATCTTTTATATATATAAAAACTAGTAAAACCGGCTAACTCCGTTTCGCCACCAAAAAGCATTGTTTTATGTAACATTTCGTTTGGTGATTAAAAGATGAAGATTTTTTTTGTTTTATATTTGAAAACGAAAATTTTTATTTCATTTCACAACAGTAATGAATTCATTTCGATGTTATGTGTTATTTAGTTGAACTTTCTAAGTAAATGACAGTGAATCCAAAGTAGATACCGAATCGAAGCGTTATACGTGTCCGCAAATTACCCGTTTCATTGAAGTGGTCCTTTGTAAACCACATTTTTTGTTTTTTGGTCTAACTTCAACACAAATAAACCGGATGGTTTCCAAACTCGTGAACACGCAAAATATAACGCCCATGTGAAAAACAATTATTTAATTCTAAATCTATCCCGCAAATACTAAATGGTTTTAAGAGTTTAAACTACAAACACAATACCGGTTTATCACATGAAATTAACTGAGCAGAGAACAATGAGTAGCTGTAAAACAATGTATTATGCACCGGCGCCATCTACTTAAAATATTGATTTGTAGTACATGTTATGTATGGCGCTATATGTGAAAAAAGATTTTCCCGCTTTTCTTTTGAAATTATAGAAAGAAGAAAAAATGAAAGTTATAGCGTCAGGATGTTAAACCGGACTTATTTTTATATACTAGATATCTTACAAATATCTAATTGTCATCATTACGTCATTACATATCTGTCATTATACGTCAATTGTGTTATTCCACGTTTTATAGTGACTGACGTTTCATGTCAAGTCCCACGGGAATGCTGTCGAACGGGATAAAAGTATCCTATTGCAATTTCCTGGCTTTACACTACCTCCCTGCCAATTTTCAGCTAAATCGGTTCAGCCGTTCTTGAGTTAGAAGTGGAGTCACTAACACGACTTTCTTTTATATGTACATATATAGATTTCGTGTCACGTGTTTGTCCGCGATGGACTCCTAAACTACTAAACCGATTTTAAATTTGATTTGCATCCCATGTGCATTTTGATCCAACTTCAAAAATAGGATAGCTTACATCCCAATTTATAGTCACAATATTATTTAATTGCGAATTATTTGTCTATTAAATAAAATTATTTGTCATTATTACAATTATCTGTTGAATGAGTTAAGTATTCAATAGATGGCGCTATGTTAAAAATACAAACGTCATATATGAGCGACTATTCAATAATAGCATAACCACTATGTGTTTCTGAGGCTAAGGTATAACCTAACTTTATTTATTAAAAAAACGTAACAGATATATTTTCTTGATTATAGGGCGATACAAAGTTCGCCGAGTCTTCTAGTTTTTATATATATTTTGCTATATTCAAAAGAAAATTATGTTAGTTACACTATTTATCACTCGAGAATGGCTGTAAGGATATGGCGAGTATTGCTGGAGAGATAAGAACCTAATTAAAATTAAAAAATACTTAATAAACTCCAATATCTGATTATTTACGGCCTCAAGAGCGGAATGTAGTTCGCCCAGTCAGATATACATATATTACTAATGCCGAAATTAACGCGGGTAAAAACTAGTTTTACAGTTAATGAAGCAAATAAAACAACCTTCTAAAGTGTTTCTATACCTTGAATATTATCATCTCTATCTATATATATAAAAGAAAGTCGTGTTAGTTACTCCACTTATAACTCAAGAACGGCTGAACCGATTTCGCTGAAAATTGGCAGGGAGCTAGTTTAGAACCAGGAAATTCTAATAGGATACTTTTTATCCCGTTCGACAGCATTCCCGTGGGACTTGACATGAAACGTCAGTCACTATAAAACGTGGAATAACGAATCACAATTGACAGCTATGCAATTGACGTATAATGACAGATATGTAATGAAGTATGGATGACAATTTGATATTTGTAAGAAATCTACTATATAAAAATAAGTCCGGTTTTCCATCCTGACGCTATAACTTCAGAACGAAAGAACTAATTTCCACGGTTTTGCATTCGTTGGAAAGGTCTCGGGCTCCGTGAAAACAAAAAATTTCAACAGAAAAGCGGGAAATTTTTTTTTCACATACAGCGCCATCATACATAACATTTACTACAAATCAATATTTTAAATAAATGGTGCCGGTGCATAATATACATTGGTTGACAGCTACTCATTGTTCTCTTCTAAGTATAACGCTTCGATTCGGTATCTACTTTGGATTCACTTTCATTTACTTAGAGAAGTTCAACTAAATAACACTTCATTTTTGTAATCGAAATGAATTCATTACTGTTGTGAAATGAAATAAAAATTTTACTTTTCAAATATAAAACAAAAAAAATCTTCATCTTTTAATAAATTTAAATAAAAGAATAATAGCTCTTTTAATGATCTAAAATACAGTCCGCGACAGTATATGTCTTTTTTTTTTTTTTTTTTTTTTTTTTTTTTTTTTAACGAGGAGAATCTTTCAAAGACTTCCCGCCGCGGGGGAAAACACGGCGGGGGCGTGTGGGATTTCCACCCACTAAACTCCTCGGCGTTCTCTGCGCTGTGCGTAGGCTAGTGAGCGGGAACGGCAAGCCATACTTCCGCTCACTACGCACGAGTCCCATGGACTCCGTCATCGGCAGGGGTCACAGTGGCTTCACCACACTTCCCCTCCGACTCCAGAGCAGCGTGCCGGGAACGCCAAGCACGCCACTCTCACTCCAGCCTATGTTGCCCGGACGCCGGTTCCCCACCAACGCCCGGAGGCTCCTCTCACTGGGGAGGCATTTGGCGAGCGTAGGCCCGCTGCCTTCTACCCAGCCTTCGTCGACGCAGGGGCGCCGAGGAGGGGTCATCTTCCCGCGCTCGTTCAGCGGCCTCTTTCCGCGAGATGACGCACTCGCTGAACCGGACCACCGCACGACAGTATATGTCTATCTTTTAAGATTAACTCACAAAAACCGTTTTTATGGTACCTAATTTGGTTGAAATAATTTGTTTAAGTTGTATCAACATAATAATATTAATCTTTATTCAAATAAACAAAGAAATGTGTTGTTGGGTAAGTGTACTTTATTGTGAATAAAAAAAAACATAGGTTTTATCCTGCAAATTCTACGGGAACTCGACAATTCCGAAAACCCCGCAAGAACGGGAACTATGTGGGAAGAACCAAAAATCTGCCGGAAGTCACTATTCCACGCGGACGGAGTCGTGGCAAAGGCTAGTGTTATATAAAAGCCTTCTGGTGGCGAAACGGAGTTCGCCGGGTTTACTAGTATATATATATATATAATTTCTCTACATATTATGTTATTGTTCCAGGTGTTCAGTCGTCACGGGCTGGAGGTGGTGTCTCCTCTCCGTGAGAAGTTCGACCCCAACCTGCACGAGGCGCTCTTCACACAGGTACGTACCCTGTGTTATTCAAATTAATTTATATTTCAACAAATGACGGGCTCTCTGTACTAAGGCTCGCAACACACGGGCCAAATAGTTATTATAATAATGGAGGGAATTTTCAACTAGCTGTTGCCTTCAGCTTTGCTCTAATACTTATTTTCCTTTCGTATGGTCTCTTTGCATATCTCGCGAATGCTGGTTTAGAGAAAGTGGAACGACCTCAGAATAATGTTCTTTAGAAAAAACAATAAGCTTGAAAAATCTTTAATTGAAGGAGTACCGTTTACCGTACACATTTAGTCGAATTGAGAACTTCTTTTTTAAAGTCGGTTTAAAAGCAGCCTAAGTGAGACGAAACCTCTTAGCATTCAATGGATTCACCGTGCGGGTGCCGGGTCCATCGCGTTGCAGGGAGAGGAGCTTCAACAGTGCCTGGGACTTGCGACCCAGGTGTAGGTTTAAGGGGCCCCTTAACTAACGCGCGTTATACGCTCACCTCCACTGTCCAAGTTCCTCTCCCTACCTAACCAAATTTGAAAAGAACCTACTAGGGCTGCCTTCGACGTACGTTCCAAGAATGAATTAATGTTAGTTCTGGACAGGCCCAAGTCTTTTAGTAGGTTATAGAGGGATTTAGCTGTTATACCTCTCGCTCCCACCTCTACCGCGTACAAATCAACGACGAACCTATTTCGAGTTAGTTCGTTAGTGAGCTCGTAATACTTATTGACCTTGATGGCATGGTCTTTGGGGATGTTGGTTTCCCAAGGCACCGTAAGCTCTATCATCACAACGCGCTTTAAAATACGCGAATATAGAAATATGTCTGGTCTGGAGGCCGACGCACAAATATCCTCGGGGATTTTGTATTGTTTCTCATACGTATCCATCATGATAGTCCAATCCGAAGCCGCTTTAAGGATAGAGTAAGGCTTGACGTTTGATTTTATAGCCCTGGTGCCCTCTCTCACAAAACCTATTGATCGCTCGTTTGTGGTTATTTCCCTTTGCGCTCTGGCTACCGAAAGACTAACCGCTTCACGTATGATCTCTAAAACCCTATCGTGACGACGCGAGTATTGACCGCTGTCCAGGAGAACCTTACATCCCACCAGCAAATGCTTAGCAGTTCCTACTGCCTTTCCGCAGATATAGCAAGTTTTTTCGGTACCTTTACCCCATCTTACTAAATTACTCTGATCTGGGAGAGTCATTTGGAACGCATTGAGATAAAATTTTAGCAAGGCTGGCGACCAGTCATGAATTAGAGTGCGCCATTTTAGTGCTAGTGGAATGCAAAAATCTCCTATGTCTAACCACTCGTTCTGCATTTCTAAACTCATTGCATGGATCTTGTATTTATCGTTCTCGTCTTGCCGAATAAAAGACTTCAATATATCCGTATCTTGGACTTTCCTACTTGATCCTAACCCTACTCTGTTATTTTGCGCTCCGATCATAAATTGTTTATGGAATTGAAGTCGTGACTCTAGCTCTGGGGCATCATTGTCTTTTGGGAGTGATGTAACGACGTCATCATGGGATTTTCCCAGGATATGTCTCTTGGAAACTCTTAGGTGTTTGTAGAGCTCCGATGGTCTTTTTAGATTCATCCCAAAACTATTACGATCCCTGAATAAAGCCGATGAATCAGCCGTTAGCGCGAGCCCGACCCACAACTTCAACATCTTTATGACGCCTGCATCTAATTTAGATAAAAGGGTTTTACTAAAATCATAGACGAGGAAAGGCCAATTCAAACGTGAAGTTAAGTAATTATCGTAGATCCATGCTTTTTTTACGTTACTGATCTGCTGGCTATCTACCCTGTTGAGATCATTTAAAAAGCTATCTACTATCCCTTCTAAAGATGGAGTACGACCTATATTATCAATCTTACGACCGAGAAACTTGAATGGTGCATTTTCCGTAACCGTAGAAACGCATTGACCGCCTATCGATAGTCCCGGATCGTATGAGGTGTATCTTGTATTCCGCCTACCAAGACACAGACAGTGACATTTATTTGGTTTTGTCCTCAATCCGTCCGTCCACTCACAGAATTTATCCACTTCATCTAATAGTACTTGACAGTGTTTGGGGGTGACGTGTCAGTATTGCGAGATCGTCAGCGAACGCTAAAATGGATTCCGTGTATTTGTTATTGAACTTAAACCGATACCCCCATTTCTTCTCATTGCTGATAAGTTTATCTACTAGGATATTGATTACAATATTAAATACTATTGGAGATAAACAGCACCCTTGGAATAGTCCTACATTGTAACTCAAACTTTTTGATGGGCCTTCTTTAGTTATAATAGAAAACTTTAATTTTGAGTAATACGACGCAATCATATCGCTAACTAAGGGTGGAAAGTTATACCATCTAAGCGCGAATAGCATCAACTCGTGTTGTATCGACCCGAACGCGTTCTCTAAGTCTATCCAACAAACTGTAATTTGCCGCTCGCTTTTTCTAGCATCTTTTAAACTCTCCGACAGCAAGGTGTTGTGTTCTAGGCATCCAGAAATCCCGGGTAGAAACCCTTTCTGGTGATTTGGCCTAAAATACTTGTTGCTGAGCATGAATCGCGTCATTCTCGTTTGTAGGACCGAGAAAAAGATTTTAGATATTGTATTTGTTAAGGCTATCGGTCTAGTATCCTTCGGATCGGTAACACGATCTTTTTTGGGAATGAGGACAAAAATTGCTTTCCCGAAGCACTCCGGGATTTGCTTCCTTGACCAGATTTTGCCGTATATATTTATGAGGTGTTTACGAACCGATGGACATTTTTTAAAGACTATATATGGGATACCATCGGGGCCCGGTGCAGATTTAGATGATTTCCTCTTTATGTGACTACTTATTTCGTCTAACGTTGGTGGTATGCCGTGAAAATCGATATGAGGAATTTCCGGTTTTTGTTCGTTTGGATCCGTATAGAGCCTTACACTTTTAGGCAATTCGTATGTGACCTGAAAATGGTCGTAAATTTGATCATTGGTCAAGAGAAGCTGTCCGCGTTCTTTCTTAAAAATGGTTTTCGAATACTCAAAAGGGTTTTTATCAAAATCTACTTCCTGTTTGGCCCGGTCAAAATTACCGCGATATTCTGCAGTTTGTGCCGATATTCCTTGAATTAATTTAAGGATTGACCTTAACGCCCTAGCTAGCTGATGACTAAGGTGGTTGTCGCCTAGAGCTTTGGCTATACGTAGATTTTTTATTAATTCCCGTTTTTTCTTCCTCATTTTTATCTTGAACGAATTTTCTTTATTTTTGCGAGCGTAATGATTACGTGTTGGATATTGCTCGTTGAAGTTATACATACTAATCATGTACAGAGATTTAAAACTTTTGTTAGTATTAATTTAAATGAAACTAATATTTTTGGATTACTATACGTTGTTTATTATTTTTAAACTACATACTCCCAACGGTTCAGTTACTTCGCAGTAACTGTGGTCACGAAGACGAGATGAAAGTTTCTTTTAACCTTCAACTACCGACGTGGTTTTTTTGTATCACTAGTACCGACGTGGGGCCTGAGAGGCCGCATATTAAACACTGTGTGGTATGGAAAATATGTACAATAGACATCTAGTTTTTTAGTTTTATCGTTAATTTGGGATCTATAAATGAAAACAAAGACAATTATTATAATCAACTTTATTAAACTTTGAAATTATATGATCTTTAATCTTTGACACCGATTCTAAACTTAAAAATGGCACTTCCTGAAATAAAAATAATTAAAGAAATAATACTTCTTAGGAACCATGAAATAGACTTCTTTCTTAAACTTTAAGGTTATATCTATTCAAAAAAAAAAATTAAACTTAAATTGTTTTCATAAAATAAAAAAAATGTCCAACAACAAAGTTAGTCACAATTAGGGCAGATTTGTTTAGCGCACTGTAAACAAACATGTTTTTTACATGCGTAACATTGATATGTAGATTTTCTTTTTAATTTAGGCGGAAAAGAGGCACATAATTTTCTTGTTTTTTCTTCTTTTGCTTGACTTTGTTCTGTGTTTGGCATATCAGGACCGAGTATTCTTTCTAAACTCATACGAAGTTCACGAGGCAAGCGTAAGTTTAACACCCTTCTCTTCATGTGGTCTAATACGAGTTGTCGAGCTAACTGCTTTATAAACACACCGCGATCAGGAGGTTAGGAGGAGGTTTTGACCACTTATATTTATTTTTTCCTCTAAAATAACAAAGCCTAGAAAGCGGCACATCTTCGTCATCCGACAAGGAACAGGAAATACATAGTTTCCGTCTGAAGTAATGGCTGAGTTGTAGTTTCAGTATCATTACCTGTCTCATGATCGCTGATTTCTGGTACGTAATCTTCTCCGATATCATCTACCTCCGATCCGCTGGAGTCTTCTGCAAGCAAGGTCTCAATCAACGCCGCGTTATTTTCATCCAAGAGATTTATAGGACGCCATGGTCATTTGGAAAAACGTAATTCATCCGTAGGTAAACTACGTTTACCCCCTGATGTCCCTGGTACATCCATTCTTCAAATTATCCGGTAGATTTCTGAAAACAAGCTTTTAATTTCATTCATGACCCAAACAAAAAACTAACGTTAGTACCGACGTCGGGCCTGAGAGGCCGCGTCGTAAATTCAAAACAACATAACTTACCGAAATTGTGTTCGCCGGCACTGCTACCATACTCAATGGCGTCGGCGCAACTAAACTCGCAGCTACTGACGAGCACGGGGCTCACGTGCGCGGGGAAGTGGTAAAACTAACAACTTGTCGACCCGCCGCGGCCTCACAGGCCCCACGTCGGTACTTAAAGGTTAACAAAGTATTGGTTTTAAAAATTGTTGAATATAAGTAAGTGTTATAATCTATTTTAACGCGCAATATATTGTTAATCTGTAGGAATAGTCGTATCATAGTTATGTCGGTTGAAGGTTGATTAAATATACGGAGTTCATCAAAAACCGTTCTATTTCAACTATTTTAACAAAAATAATAAATTAAGCGTATACTATTAATATTAGTTTCATTTATACTGTCATGTGTTCAGTAAAAATATTTTAATTTGAAATTATAGAGACAGCTATGCTTTATTTATTAGTATGAGTATCCACAAAGACAAAACTATTATAGGGTAAGATACCCAATTATTGGCACTTTAAGGATCCCTGTTCAAAAAAATAGTTTAAATTATCTTTATGAAGTGTTGCCAGAATAATAAATATATGTATATACATGGTAGAAAAATAGTTAAAGAATATCTTTAAATAAATGCGCAGTCTGCCAGATACGTCTTTAATAACGTTTTTATTTATTTAAAAAAATAACACCGTTTTCCCACTTACTGGCATACTTGGACCAATTTTATGTATAGGCCTATCAGTTACTGACATATCATTTCCTTTTTTATATATAGTAAAATTGTATATACCTAGTATAAGAATTATGTAGATTAAATTATATGATTGTGTTCCCAGGAGGTCCAAGGTGCAGAGCCGGGGTCCGTGGTGGCGGTCAGTAAGGTGGGCTACAAGCTGAGGGGTCGCTGTGTGAGGCCGGCGCTGGTCGGGGTCGCTAAGGGAGCCTCCTAGTGACCCCAACACAACACTCATTCAATACCAAATTATATAATATATGTCCGGTGACTGGGTGATGTGGAAATTCTGTGTTGTCTCAGCATGTAGTGTAGTGCGGACTTAACTTGGTAGTATTCAGACTACAGTACTGAGAATATGTTTAATATTCTCCTCGGTACTGTCTCATGTAAGTGCAGCACAAATGTTTAGTTTTTGTTCTGTCTTCGTCTTTATCACATCAGTGAAGAGCATTTATTCCTCCGTATCTAAATCGTCATCCGTGTTGAATGTCCGTATGTTTTATATTTAGTACTAGCATTAAAGTGGATCATTGTTACATATACTGGCTTTTATTTTATACTCTCTGTACCTCTGGCTATAGAATGTTACATTTCACAAACAAATAGGTCTGTCATTTCAGAGATAAGTAGCAACACGCAGATATAATGACAGAAAAATTGTGGTACATACATGAATACCACAAAAACCAAATTTATATTAATATAAGAAAATAAAGCATTAATCAATATTCTATTTGTATATGTTATGTATTAGTTTTGCTTGTTAAATAATAATAGTATGTCAAGTGTTATGTATGGTAGGCAGATCACTTTATTATATTAGTTGCTATTATTCAGTTTGATACTTAGAAGTTAGAACAATACACATTTAATTTAGTTCTATTGAAGACTACCATATAGAAACATTAAGTCAAATGATTTTAAACCGTTTTATAACCTCATATCTGTCGTCTGGGCAACAAATAATAGACCATATAATGTTACACATATCTTTAATAAACACTGCACTGTCTGTCAGTCCTTTCCGCACTCCACCGTCACACAAACACGAGATGATAACATACGAGGGTCGCTCACATCATAACATAATAATTACTGTATTGTACATATTGTAACGGATATTAATTTGTAAATTCGTTTTCGCGTCAAACATGTGTGGAGCCCCGGGTCCGCCCGTCTCACGCCCCGCGCGCGTGTGTGTGTTCCTCTAGAACCCCTCCTGGTACAGCTTGGAGTCGAGCCTCGCCTGCAGCAGCTCCAGCTGTCTCCGCGCCTCGCACGGAGGGAAGTTGGACAGCTCGTAATACTGGGGCGCGATACGGAGCAACCACTCCGCTGAAAATATACCGTACATATCTTTATATATATAATTCTTCTGTGAGTGTGTATGTCACTGAACTTCTCTCAAACGACTGGACCAATATTGATTAATTTTTTTTCAAGGGGATCTGGGAATGGTTTAGATTCACAATTTTGTCTGCTGGGCAATGTGTTTTATTTAATTTTTAATTTATTAGTAGTTGTTGATACAAACTTTTTTTTTTTGACATTAGATTTGATAACTAAGTAATATGTCAACCTGTCGCACTTCAAAACACGGAGATTTATGGCTTCAATAGGTAAAATCCAAAAATATAAATAAAAAAACGTAAAAGATATATCTTGATTATAGGGCGATACGAAGTTCGCCGGGTCTTCTAGTCTTATATATAAAATTCTCGTGTAACGGTGTTAGACAGAGAAATCCTCCGAAACGGCTCGACCGGTTTTGATGGCATTTTGTGAGCATATTGGGTAGGTTTGAGAATCGACCAACTAGTACACTAGTATTATTGATATTATATTTTGTTGAATTTTTACATTTGTAAATTCATCTATAAATTTTTATCAACTCAAGTCTCCCTTATTCTAATGTATTATACAAATCCGTTCAGCCAGTTTCTTTTAATTCATAAGTATCTATCTATATATCTATGTGTATGTGTGTTTGTGTACGTTTTATATCGGTGACGGTCCGTATGTAGTTCTTGGTGGTGAGCACAAACTCGTTGTATATGACCCAGTCAGGCTTGTGGTCCAGACACGTGGAGGGATGCAGCTGTACTTGTTGGTTGTCCTTCACCGTCAGGTAGTGACCTGTTCGCTCTAAGTGAGCCACCTGGAACATATATACATACATATTGATTATATTTGTATGAGAAAGATTGCAAATGAGCAGACAGCCTACTTGATGGGCAATAGTCATCGTCGCCCATAGACATCTGCAACAGAGATGTTGCAAATGCATTGAAAATCTTGTTTGTTGAGAAAAAGGAAGGGTTAGAAATAAGGAAAGGATGGGAACAAGGATACATATCCACATACATGAGTTTACCATCCAACCAAATGTACAAAAACTGATAAATTGATGTTAATGAAACTTTACAGTTAGTTATCTTAGATAAAAGCAAACATTTAGGCATTCATATCGCCATAATTTCACACAATACCCACAAGAATATTTCACAATACATAGTTGTATTTTGTATGAACTCATATGACACTATATATTTGTCCATTTTCTCTGAACCCAACTCCATATATCAAGTACATAAGCGAGTGTTTCAGTTACAATATAAGTGAGGTGTTATCAAAGTCTATGTACCTGCATAAAGAACCCGTTGACGAGAGCTTTCCTTATATTAATGTAGTAGTCTTTGCTTGTGAACTCTGTGCTCGTTCGCTTCAAGTTGAACCTGGAATACAAATGAATATACACATTACACAAACAAGTTGACGGTTACTTCATAATAGATGGCGCTTGTATACATCATCAGCCTATCAGAACTCACTGAGCAAAGGATTCTTCTCACATGGAGAATATTTGAGCATTAATCACCACGCTTGCTCAAGACGGGTTGGCGATTTCAAACTTATAATTTGATACAAGTCCAGATTTCCTCACGATGTTTTCCTTCATCACTTAGTGATGTGAAAAGACGATTTAAATATCCTAAACGAATGGTTACAGTACAATTTACTTACACTAAATGTCCCAAAAACCTTATATGAGTTTTCGGCCAAAAATAATGAATTGATACTTAACAATCAAACTGTCAAATAATGAAAAATACTTAGGATTAATTTTAGATAAAAATTTAACTTGGAAACCTCATATAGATTCCATACATTCCAAAATAACTTCGCTTACTGGAGCTTTACGTAAATCTGCACGTTGTATTCCTCCAAGAGTACGAAACATTATTTACAATACTTTAGTAAAACCAGTATTAGAATACCTTATAGAAATATGAAGCAACGCGGCTAAAACACACATTCTCAAATTACGTTTAAAACCAAAACCCATTCTTACCACACAAGGAACAGATATAAACTAGAGACATCTAAAACTTGAACCAAGTACGGCATTAAAACTATTTCATTTGAAGGAGCACAGCTGTATAACTCTTTGCCTCTAAGTGTTGTCAATTCAAAATCTCTAAATATATTTAAAAAACGATTAAGAACTCATATACAGGGTGACTGGTGAATTACTATCAATATTTAAGGAGAATACTCGGTACATGATTCTCATTCGAATTATGTAAAAAAAATAGGTACTTAATTTTTGACCAAATTTCCGTATAAATAAATAAAGTGTTGACACGTTCCAAGTGTGGAACACTTGGAACGTGTCAACACTTTATTTATTTCATATGTGTGTGTGAGTGTATACCTAATCTGTAGGGTGTGCACACGATGCGTAATTAATTACATAACTTTTGGTTAACTTTACTTAGAAGTTTATTAATATTTATGTTATATTAATTTTTATTTTGTCATATATGATCGTCAAATATCACGTCCTCAAGTATCGATAGTAATTCACCAGTCACCCTGTATAAGATGATTTTACTGATCTTGTTTAAATATCACTACTGTTTATTATTTGTAATCTTAATTGTAGTTATAATTTTTTAAATTTCCTTTGTAAGCGAACTTTGTTCTTTTTGGAAATAAACTTCTTTAAACCTAAGACACTTAGACAGTACATATGACTTGGAAAAATCACATTGGTACTTGTGTGGATCGAACCCTCGATCTAACCACTAGGACACTACGACTTCATTGAATGGCGCTTGTATGAAAGATACTATTTATTTTGTTATTGTATACAAGTTATATATTGAGTGTCACCTGTCCATGATCCTGCTGAGTTGTTGTCTTACGTTATCACCAGACTTGAGTGACCTGTAGTTGATGAAGTTGTCGTAACACCAGTGGGGGTCATCCATATCTGGAAATATTAACATACATATTAATAAAAGTGATGCAACAGTCAGTCTGGTCATGTCATGGATGGATCACCATTCACTAACATAGCTATATTTTTAATAATATATATGTTAGCTATTTAATTTTATTTCAATTTATGTATGTAATTTTGATATGGATGTTTATGTCTGAAATAAATATTATTATTATTATTAATGCTTATTATAGAAAATATATAATGACACAATATCTCAAACGGCAAAATGACTGTAACAAATTGTGTTAGGTGGTAGAGCCTAGCTGTGGTTAGTTACTACAGCTCGAACACGGGCTGGCTCGACCGGGGAAGTACCACCCTCTCACAGAAGATCGGCGTGAAGTAGCCTTTAATGGCTGCGTTTCGTCCGATGAGTGAGAGAGCCGGTTGCCCTTTCCCTATTCCCACCCTTTCCTACAATATCCTTATTCCCACCCCTCCCTATCCCTATAAAACAAGGTTGGCAACGCATCCGCAACATCTTTGTTGCGGATGTCAATGGGCGACGGTAACCACCTTCCATCAAGTGGGCCGTCTGCTCGTTTGCCACCTTTAACATAAAAAAAAAAAAAAAAAAAAAAAAAAAAAAAAGGAGCTTGTACGGTGGAGCTGAGCGTTTAACGCTCGTTAGATAAGGTCCCTTAAACCTACACCTGGGTCACAAGTCACAGTCACTGTTGAAGCTCCTCTCACTACAACGATGGACCCGACACACGCACCGTGAATACATGGAATAATGAGAGGATTCGACTCTAGCAGTTTTTAGGTCAAATCTTGCTTGTATATAATATATTATTTCATTTTGTATATGTGTGTGTGTACTCACTCTGTTTGAACGCGTGGTACACGTTCAGTAGTGTGAGGTGGTCACCGTCGATGTGAGCGAACCTCATCTTGGCCTCGTCCGCTGCCTTCCTTACTTCATTGGGACGGACGAAGCATTGTGGAACTGAAATAATATATAAAGATACTTCATTAATATATATACTAGCTCCTGTATGCGACTTTGTTTATTATACTTCCGTATTGACTTCACAGATATGAAATAATGTGGGCTAATTAATAAAGAAGTGTGATTGGTCTAATTTTGTAACAGTTATCGATAGATTTATTAATAAAAAGGTTAATGATGTGACTCTTGTGATTATAAATTAGAAAAATATTTAGTGATGGACCAGTCTTAACACAAGGAGGGTATATAAAATAGTTTCCTAAACATATAGAACACAGTGTGATGGCGTTATCAGAAATATTGTGTGTGTGTGTTTATTAACCTGACAGCATAGCGGTGATGGAGAGTATCTCGTTGGAGCAGTTGTGGTTACAGCTGGCTATCAACATCTTGGCGAGCTGCGGGTCGAGCGGGAACTCGGCCATCACGGCGCCCAGGTCCGTCAGGTTGCCGTCGTCATCTGTAATGTATACAACAGGTCATAAGCCCCAGGTGTGCGGGTGTATGTGTGTGTGTGCGTGTGTGTCCTCACCGAGCGCCGCCAGGTAGTTGAGCAGCTCGAGCGCGCGCATGAGCGTCTCCGGTGCCGGCGGGTCCATGAAGTCAAAGTGCACCAAGTCATCGATGCCCAGCTTTTTCAACTGCAAAACTACAGATCCTAAGTTTGATCTGCAAATGCAAGGCGGATGGCATTACATTGTGGCATTAGAGCGACCGAGGGCTGCGAGCCCTGTCTAGTACAGAGACTGTGTTAGTGTCTATAGTTAAAAGACTCCACTAATATATACTATACAAACACCCTCTCTCTCTATCTATACATACATACATACATACTATCTATACTAACTGTACAACCAATGTCACCTCAGTATCTCGGGGTACGTGTTGTCCTGCATCTCGTCCTTGTAGGCCTTCTCCGTGTACAGTCTGAAGCACTTCCCCGGCCGGGTCCGTCCCGCGCGGCCCGCCCGCTGCTGCGCCGAGGCCTTGCTGATGGGAGACACGAGCAGCGACTCCACCCTCACCCGCGGGTTGTACACCTTCTGCTTGGAGAAGCCCGTGTCTATGACGAACACTACCCCGTCTATGGTGAGCGAGGTCTCCGCTATGTTGGTGCTCACCACCACCTTCCGGCCGATCCTTCCGTTCGGTCTGTTGGGAGGCGCGGGCTCGAAGATCCTCTGCTGTAAGTTGGGCGGGAGGGTGGAGTACAGCGGGATACACTTGAGCTCGCCCACGTCGGGTCCCAGGTTGTCTATCTCCCTCTTGATCCTCTTGCAGGCGTCCTCGATCTCCTCCTGGCCGGTCAGGAACAACAGTATGTCCCCGGCCACCTCCTCACATATGTGTATCTGTATGACGGTCCGTATCGCCGCCTCCAAATAATCTCTTTCAGGTTGCGGCGTGTAGAAGATCTCTACAGGGTGTGTTCTTCCGGGCACGTTCATCAAGGGCGCGTTGTCGAAGTACAGTTGAAACTTGCCGGCGTCCAGCGTGGCCGACATGATGACCAGCTTGAGGTCGGACCTCTGTTTGATGACCTCCTTCAACACGCCCATCAGTATGTCTGTAGCGAGCGTCCTCTCGTGCGCCTCGTCCAGTAATATAACCCTATACTGCTCCAACATAGGGTCGGACATGCCCTCTCTGAGCAGCATACCGTCCGTCATATATTTGAGTACAGTCTGCGGGCCGGAGCAGTCTTCGAACCGTATGCTGTACCCGACCTGCTGCCCCAGCGCCACGTCCATCTCCTCAGCCACTCTCTGCGCCACAGACATAGCGGCCACCCTCCTCGGCTGCGTGCAGGCGACCCCGTGCGCCTGTCCGCCCGTCACCGCGGCGAACTCCACGCACCACTGCGGTATCTGGGTAGTCTTCCCGGAGCCCGTCTCCCCAACTAACACCACACACTGGTGTGTGTTCAACAGTCTCATGAAGTCGTTCTTGTATTCCCACACCGGCAGACCGAGACGACGCCGGAGTAACTCGTGGTAGCGAGGTGAGTGAGGGAGACCTGCAGGATTACATTATATTTTAGTTGAATGATAACTAAGGATATAATTATACATATATCAGCTCAGTAGAGTTTTTCAAACTGTGATTAAAAGTACTCAGGGAGTCACCGGCAGAAAGTAAAATTTAAAGTGCTATACTACAATAAAAAACAATTTTTAATGAGAAGGATTTGATTGTTTATTTTTCAAAAGCTTGTCAAATCATAGTGCAATTTTGAAATATTGTCATCATATGAACTTGTAATTTCTCTTTTTTATTTTCATGTCCACCATTGAGTGTTTTTAACTTTAACATAGACTTATAAATTTAATAATTTCCTCGCCCGTCTATCTCACAAGAGGGTGTCCAAAATAGTTCAACCCTTAAGGGATCTCAACATCAAAAAGATTCATAAACACTGTTAGTGAGGTCCATGTATTACCTGTGTAAGGGTTCAGTCCCGGCGTGCTAGCGGGTGTGTTGGAGGTCGTCCCGGGGGTCGTTCCTGTAGTTGATGACTCCGAGGCCTCGCTGCCACCAGCCTTAGCTGCTGCTGCTGCTTTTTCCTCCCTACAACACACACATAAAGCATTTAATTTTAATCGATGTCGACATTACAGGCCTAGCCTAGTATGGTCATCAAAATGTACTGTAAATTGCATTGTCTTTTTACAAATAAAGAAATAAATATATGAAATACTTCTTTTCATATATATGTACTATCTAACATATGAAACCCAAAGTCATCTTTGTATTAATGTTTTCATAAATAAAACTTGGAATTAAAAATCTACAAGTTTAACTAGAAAATTTAATTATATGTACGAATAAAACGACGATATTTAGTACTAAATTTTCACAATTTAATAGTTAAATAAGTCAATTTTATAAGTATAGCTCTGTTATAACTCATAAAGAGTGTACAATAAAATTATTAAATTGTTATTGAGGGAATATTAATAATATTCTTATGGATTACTTTTCTTTTCGCTAATTTCTTTAATATTACAATATTATTGATGACACCCCTTCGTAACACGACTTATTGTGAGATTCAGTTATAATGTACTAGCTTTTGACCGCGACTTTGACCGAGTTAACTCATAATGAGAAAAGTTTCGATTTAGAGGCAATAAATAAATAGATTTTGGATTTTATTCGCTTCTATTTTATGTGTCGACCGAATTCAAAAGTATACTGTCCTTTTCCTGGGTCCAAGCTATCTCTCCATAAATTTTCAACCATATTCGTAGTCGTTCTTGAGTTATAAATAGTGTAACTAACACGACTTGCTTTTATGTATGTGTATTTAAAGCGACGCCCTGTATTTTCACAATCAATTGTTATTCGTTTCTTAACAATTCTTAAAAACATGTAAACATTATTTCAGCGCCACTTCTAACAGCGCCATCTATCATAGTATAAAGTAAATTTAATTTTGAGTATATTTTTTGTTTCCTACATAATATAATATTAATTCATTTCAGATCTCTATAAAGACTCTAAATACTTTAAAACTAACGCTCGGAGATAATAAATAAATATTACAATAATAATAATATTGGGAAAATAAGTTGACGATATTTTTTTCCACAAGTTAAAAAAAATCAAAACACGTTTTTGCAAAAATGTTTTTAAAGTTATTTAAATACATCGTGAGTTAATATATGTGAGTGTTATAATTATATCACAGTTTTTCAAGCGCGAATTCTATAGATATGTGCGATAATTAAAATATTTAAACAAAGAAAATACGATATGAGCATGGGGCTATAAGATCAAATTCAACACTCTACTTGCCTTTTTTTCTTAATAAACGGATCCATCACTTCAATCCTTCTTTTAGACATCGTCTAACAAACACATATAACACTAAATACGGCTTAATTCGAAATTATTATCAGATTTTAATAAAACGAGGCAGAATACAAAATGGCGACTGTCCGGTATACAATCATCACAGATTATTGTTAATTAACTCCACAGTCTATAAAACTAAATTTAATTAAAAGTTTAATTTTGAATAGTATGGTTTTAAAATAAAAGGTTTAAAAATTTTGTATTCCTACTATACTAGTATGTCAATACTTTATTCTCTTTCCTCGAGACATTGACTACATTTTATATTTACAGTTTCCATATATCGTAAACAGTTTAAAAAGTAAAAAGTAATTAATACTTCCCAAAATATAAAAAATGTATTATAATTTAAATATTTAGAAAATTCACGTTTATTTTTAAATAATTACATTTATAAACGAAATTTTTCGTAAAGATAAAAAGTCTCCTATTCGGAAATAGGAAGTTCGGAACGTTTACAAACAAAAAATAAAAAATGTCACACAGTGGTATAAACTGCGTATTTATCCCCGTGCTTTTTAATTAATATAAAAAATAGATTCACTATGTAAATCTGTATATATTAATACTTTGGAAGCTTGTATATAATATCAAATATATTATTCGTGTAAATATATGTATACTATTCCTTTGTGCAGTGTAAAATCGAAGTTGTAAAAAATATAGGCGAAGTCCCAAATCATACTGTAGTGGTGTTATTTCGAAATCGAAAATTATGTACGATATAGTGAATTATCTTTAAAACAAACGTAAGTTAAACTATTACAGTTATATTTTCTATTATACAAGACTTATTAAATGGTCACAGTCGATGGTGAGCACATCAAGATGGCTGCCAGAGTTCTTAAATGATTTGTTTATATTTTGGTGTTTAATTGAACATTTCAATTAAATCTGGATGTTTAAATTCAGTATAATATATAACTTTGCTGAGGAGAACTCGTAATAAGTAATTTTTCAACAATATCGTGATACAGGTCAATTGAGGTTATTGATCTACTAAGTAGTTAAAAAAAAGCAAATGATTTACGTCAATTCTTGTTTTTCTCATAAAAGGATTGTATCACTTACATGCTTATTAAAATTTAAGTAAAATTACACCCATTATGGTAATTTTGAACATGTCTTCATTTAAGAGGAATTAAAGAACTTATGATCAAATCTTTCGTTAAATAATGAAATAGATTTCCTTTCTCTAACAAGTTCAAGAATCGTATACAATAATTTTAACCTCTGTCTCCATCATAAAAAACATGAAATTAAATATTTCTCATACAAATGAAACTAATATTTTTCGGATGTACTACGCTGTACTACTGTAAAGTAGCCGAAACGTCGGGAGTATAAAGTTTATAATCAAAAATAAAAATCGCATCGTACCTCCAAAAAATATTAGTTTAATTTAAATGAATACTCGCGAAAATCTTAGATCTCATTATTTCTCATGCAATTATTATGTTATGTACTCAGTAATCAAAATTATTTGAGTACAGTTTTTGAACCCGAATGTATGCATTAGAACAATTAAAATGTTTTGAGTCATACATTTTGATATTAATAGCTTCATTGGGCTTAATTATTCTTTATTGTAATAAAGGTTCCGTCCAAAACACAACTTTATACTGATGTACTAAGGACTAGCATGAAACAATTAACTTTGTGTTACTTTTTGTGGTACTCAATTCATTTACAATTCAGTTTTCCTCAATTCATTTACCGTCTGTACGTTGAATGTAACTTATATATACCTACTACAAGACCTAGGCCTGACCAGAGAACTAATATCTATTCATTCTTGGAAAATATTTCGAAGACAACCCTAGTAGGTTCTTTTCAAATTTGGTTAGGTAGGGAGAGGAGCTTAGATGGTGGAGGTGAGCGTTTAACGCGTTAGATAGGGGTCCCTTAAACCTACTCCTGGGTCACAAGTCCCAGTCACTGAAGCTCCTCTCGCTACAAAGATGAACCTGACACACGCATGGTGAATCCATTGGAAGCTGAGGTTTCCTCTTGTAATAATACATATATTTGTTTGCAGATGGTAGTTTATAACCTGAACTGCTCATAGTTTAAACAAGCATCATGGGCCAGCAGACATCGAGGAAGAGTGAGTACATACATGATTATATATATTTAATACTAGCTTTCCGCCCACAGCTTTGCCTGCGTGGAGTTCGGTTATATTGCGTTTCCAAGAGAACCTTTCAAAAGTCTGGGATATAAACTATCCTGTTCTTTCTAAACTTCAACTCTATCTCTCTACCAAATTTCATTAAAATTAGTTCAGTGGTTTAGGTGTGAAAGTGTAACAGACAGACAGAAAGAGTTACTTTCACATTTATAATATTAGTTGGGATATTATTGTTATGTATTAGTTATGCTTGCTCGGTGTTGATATAGTAATATGATGTCAAGTGTAATGTAGGTAGATAACCACCACTATACATACTTGACCTTATATAGTTTTATATATACTACAATTATGTAATATTAAATTAATTATATTATTACCGCACATATAAAGTATATAAATAACTAATATTATTAATGGAGAAAATCATTAAAAACTTGAATTTAAGACTAAAGTCGTCTTAAATAGTAGTTCTAAATTCATTATTATAAGTATCACAATTTATCTATCAGTGGCATTGTAAATTTTACTCAAGAGCTTAGAATTTGTGAGTTTATTAAATAATCCAAAGGAAAAAATGTTTCAGTGTGTATATGACAAAATTTAAAGTCTGGAAAAGCTGATATATTTATTATTTGATCTTTTTTGATTCTTTAGAATGAAAGCTTTTTGTAAAGCGAGCATCATATTGTTATATCACTAATTAATTTGTTGTCCTGCAGATATTATGTAGTATCAGAACCTTTATAATATACACAGAGTACATTTATTTTATACATAAGTGGTGTATACAAATATGGCTCATTAGATTAGTATTTAAACCTTTTAGTGCATTTAAATTATAGTTTAAAGGAAAATGAATCAATTTCTATTGATAGTCTCAGCATAAATATACAATTACATTTGACCCCCGGTAGTCCGACAAACATTTTGCAGGGCAGTGTCGAACTATCGAATTTGTCGGATTATAGAGTACTGCCTAAAACCCCCTATAGTCCGGATTTTTTTACAAAAGAGTACCTTGTAAACCGACAAATTACAGATTCAATGATAAGATAATTTACATATTATATATACATATGTACTTATATGTACTCTGAAGTACAAATACAAGTTCAGACTAAGCAATCAGAATCAAAACAACACCCTAACGTCGTCAAGCACAATATATAGTGATGGAGCGTACGAGTTGTAACTTGTTCAATCATGCATTAGCAAATACAAAATATGTATTCAATAATAAATAATAATAGATCATGTCGGATTACAAGGGGTGCCGGATTAGACAGGGGCCGGATTACCGGGGGTCCACTGTATATGTCATTCCAATGTCTAACATGCTACTGTGGAGTTTCATAAAAAAAAATTTGAGCGGGATCCCTACTAATATTATAAATGCGAAAGTAACTCTGTCTGTCTGTTACGCTTTCACGCCTAAACCACTGAACTGATTTTAATGAAATTTGGTACAGAGATAGAGTTGACCTTGAGAAAGAACACAGGATAGTTTTTATCCCAGACTTTTGAAAGGTTCTCTTGGAAACGCGATATAACCGAACTCCACGCGGGCGAAGCTGCGGACGGAAAGCTAGTATAGTATATAAAGGTGCATTCACATTAGTGAGTTGTTATTTTATGTGTTAGGCGGAGAGTGTAGCTGCGGCTGCGGTGCCTGGGAGAGGCGTAGAGAGGGAGACTCGCCTAGTAGTGTACACAGATACGTGAGCGCTGTCACGGACAGGTGGGTAGGGTGGGCGACACGGGGTGCTTATTAGGACATATAGGAGACAGAGTTAACGATGAGTGTTGTGACAGGTGGAGCGGGAGGGAGTGTGCGTGTCGCAGGAGACGGTGGAGGCGCCCCGCATGTGTGTGCACCGCGTACAGACGAGTCAGCGACGCGTGCCACGATGACAGGTACGATTATATATTTAAGATTCTAACAACGTCATTAAAAAATATAGTTGTCTTATAAAGTCAGTACTTTTAATTAAGGTATGAAATCTTAACTAGGACAAACTAATTATTATCTTAAACAAAAACACCTTCATTAAGTTAAATTCAATTTATAAAAATACAAGTGTGTGTTGACAAATACTTTCCCGCGCAAAAGAGAACAACCCAAATGTCATCGTTTTAACGTCACTCTGCGTGGGTTCGGTTTAAATTAAATCTGTGTTCCCTATATATACACTTTAATTAAATGTCAAAGTTATCATAGTTTATATATAATTGTTTTATATACCAACAGACTGGCGGCCGTCCTTACATTAGGAGCGAGGGATCTGAGGAGGGAGCTGGACGCTATAGTCATTAACACAGGTGATGAGACTCGGAGTAATATATATATATATATAAAAGAGACTTTACTTAATATATGTTGTTTGTTGTGTTGTAGAGGGAGACACTGGCAGAGATCACGAGTCCACAACTGAAGTATATGTGCTGTCCGTGGGAACGAGGAGGTTCAGTATACATGACTAGATATATATATATATATATCATTATTATAAAACATATAATATATGTTTTGATATGTTCGTAAATAATATTGAATCTCTTTGTAACAGACAGACATAAACATACAACAGTTACTAATATTTTAACTCATTGCATGAAATCATTATCATGATATTGATATTTTTTTTGATCATTTATTTCAATTATAAAAGTCCATTTATTATGTATAGTTATATATTTTCTCAGTTTAGTTATGTGACTAATATTATAGTCTGTATCTTTATATGTATAGTATATGTTTCCAGTGACGCGGAGTCCACGCCCGAGGGTCGAGCCACGGAGCTGGTGCAGGCCAGCGACCAGTCTATAAGGAGGTTCCAGGTTAATATATATGTATAATATAATGACGTACAAGAAATTAACATTGTATTAGAACATCTTCATCAGCCTATCAGAGCCCACTGCTGAGCAAAGGCCTCATCTAACATGGAGAAGGTTTGAACATTAATTACCACGCTTGCTCAAGACGGGTTGGTGATTTGAAACTTATAATTTGATATTATAAGTCCATGTTCCCTCACGATGTTTTCCTTTCAAGTCAGTGATGTCTTAATACTCTTATAAAGTATATATGACTCGGAAAAATCACTGTATTAGATGAACAATTGTAGATGGCGCCTCTGTGGCACGTTGAATCATTTAAATTGTTTGATATCATAATAATGTTATTGTATATTGTTTGTTATGTTGATGTCCAGGTGGTGTGTGGCGGTGAGCTCCGCGCGCTGCTCCTCCGCGGCCCGCTGCCCCCGGCCCCCGTGCCGAACGTAGTACACACACACAGTATAGTGCACACACAGGTTCATACATTATATTATATATTGGTTGGAACCGAGACTTCGCTTGATAGTTATAGTATGAGTCATATTTCCTGTATTATGTGTTTTCAGGTCGACTACAAGCACTGTCTAGTGCCAGACCTGCAGGAGATCACAGCTTGTTCATTCTACTGGGGGAAAATGGACCGCTATGAGGCCGAGAGACTGTTGGACAACAAGCCCGAGGGTATGTGAGGGGTCATTGACCACCTACTATTCACCATTCATACCCTCACTCATATTCTCCCACATCATTCCAGGTACGTTCCTTCTCCGCGACTCGGCCCAGGAGGAGCACCTGTTCTCGGTGTCGTTCCGTAAGTACGGCCGCTCGCTGCACGCCCGCATCGAGCACTATCAACATCGGTTCAGCTTCGACTCTCACGACCCCGGCGTGTTCGCCGCGCCCACCGTCACCGGCCTCATTGAACACTACAAGGTGACTCATCTACATATATGTATATATAGTTTACGTCTAATATCTGCTTACTTAAGAATTATTAGTATTTATTTTGTGTTTTTTTATTTCGTTTAGGCATTTTTAAGTGAACACGCTAAGACACAAAACAATATAAGGGTGAATATACACTATTTGGTTTTTTCGTGTCCCAGAAGGAAATGTTATCGGTTCCATTCAATATTTATAATATATTTATTTGACACTATTTTAAAATTAGTAATCCCAGGGGCCAGACGATTATTATTTTTTTTAAAGTTTTATAAGCACCAGAGGGAAATGTGTTACCAGAAGAGTGACACTGTTGCCAGAGTATAGTAACAATCAAAGAAGGATATTGTCATACCATTAATTATTAAGTAAGAAAGTTGACTAATATTAAATGAAACGTCTATTTATGTACTTCTATTTATTTATTTAAAAAAATTGTCACTCCTCTGGCTATCATGTATGTAATATGCCAGAGGAGTGACGCTAGAGAAGTGACAAAATCACACATAATGTATTCAAAATAAACATCATTCGCTTTTCTTACATCAGTTTAAGTTAATATTTGACATCTACGGACAATAAACATTGATTATAGAAATTAACAATTTCGTAACGATAAAATACAAATATATATGCTTGCCAAAGGAAATACTCCAACGACTGGCACAAAATTACTTTCCGAAAGTTTATCGAAAACTGATCAAATTTTTTTAAATTTTGCTCAAATTATTTATGATTTATTCTTTAAAATCAAAAGCACAAAGTTGTGATTTTTAATATATTTTTAAGTCTTTGATTTCCGCCAGATGAAGTGACAGAATTGTAACATGACTTGAAAATAAGTTATATTATTATTTATTTTATATTAACAAATATTTTTACTCTTAATTTTGTTCAAATATGTTTCGATGTTTATTAAAGCGTATGTCCACATTAAATAAAAAACATAATTGTGTACATTTTGAAAGTATTCAGCCATAATTTCTTTTTAATTCATAAATGGGAAGGCCAGAGGAGTATACCTTTAGAATATTATTAAAAATATAAAATAAATAATTATCGTGAATAGTCTTTGTGGGCTAGATAAAATGCCATATTCTTTATTGTTTAAGCATGGAGAGACAATGATATAATAAGTTTTACATAAAATTTGTCTATAGACCGATGGAATTCAAATAGCGTATATTCACCCATAAATGAATAATTAATTTCTTAGTCTAACCTCAAAACAAACACTCGTTGACTTCCTGGTACTTAACAATGCCATCTGCTGTTGTGTCGCTTAAAAGCAATTAGCAAAAAGTAGTACTACTATTCCCCAATAGATATCAGGAAGAGTCATATTTTAAACGACTCCTTTTGAATTTTTTTAAAATAAAATAACATTTAGAAAAAGTCATTCCTCACCCCCGATTTATCACCCCCGAATTACCTTATATACTAAATTTCATGAAAATCGTTGGAGCGGATTCCGAGATTCCAATATTTATGTATATACATATATATATAATATATTATATATACAAGAATTGCTCATTTAAATATACAGTGTGACTGGTGAATTACTATCGATACTTGAGGACGTGATATTTGACGATCATATATGACAAAATAAAAATGAATATAACAAATATTAATAAACTTCTAAGTAAAGTTAACCAAAAGTTATGTAATTAATTATGCATGCGGCGGCGTGGTGTTGTATCAGCACGCCGCCGCACGCGTCCACACTTGGAACACTTGGAACGTGTCCACACTTTATTTATTTATACGGAAATTTGGTCAAAAATTAAGTACCTATTTTTTTACATAATTCGAATGAGAATCATGTACCGAGTATTCTCCTTAAATATTGATAGTAATTCACCAGTCACCCTGTATAAGATGTGTATCGTATCTCAACCCCCTCCCCCCTCCAGGACCCGGCCTGCGTGATGTTCTTCGAGCCGATGCTGACGGCCCCCCTCCCCCGCAGCTCGCCCTTCTCCCTGCAGCAGCTGTCTCGCGCGGTGATCGTGTCGCACGTGAGCTACGACGGCGTGGAGCACCTGCCGCTGCCGGCGCGCCTGAGGGCCTTCCTCAAGGAGTACCACTACCGCCAGCGGGTGCGCGTGCGCAGGCTCGAGACCGACTCGTACGAGCGCGCCTAGCGACCGCTCTACCACCTGCCTCCGCTGGAGTACCTGCCGCGGCTGCTGCACCCGCGCTGAGTGTGCTGAAGTGATAGAACTGGGCTTACTTAATACTAGATGTAAATATACGATATACAGTTACTATGAGTATTAACATGAGAGGATGTAAATATTATTTATTATATTGTCTCCGTGTAGTGTGTGTCCCGGGCCTGCCGCTGGTACCGACCCGACCATGCTCCCCATGTATTACATTATATATAATATATGTATTTTAAAGCTGTTCGTGGTTTTATTTAACTTACTCCAATAATAGACCGATAGCTTTTAAAACATAGCACTGCGTTACATGATTTTGGTACCCACGTAAGTGTTAGCTGGAATGAATAGCTAATGAGTCACAGATTAAATGTATATGTGGTATTCTATCACGTCTAGTTTTCGAGGTACATGCCAAATGATTTTTTCTATTACTCTCAATTTAGGCGTAGACGAAATAGTTACCATTTTTGAGGTGTTGTACTTTTTATTATTTTGTTTTGTTTAGTAGTCATTTTTATTTGATAAGAGCCACGGAAAAGCTACAAGAGTATGGCCAGAAAGATCAAAGTTTGTTTGTGGAAAATCTAATGTGAAACATATACCATTGATAGATCTTAAAAATATCATTTTACCACGACTCCACATAAAACTTGGTTTGATGAAAAATTTTGTGAAGGCTATCCATAAAGAGGGAGATGGCTTTTTATGTTTAAAAACAGTATTTTCAAAGTTAAGTGATGCAAAACTTAAAGAAGGAATATTTGTAGGACCACAAATACGCACATTGATGAAAGACCCAAATTTTGAGAAAAAGCTTACTGACAAGGAACTTGATGCCTGGTTATCGCTGAAAGCAGTTATTTAAGGGGGTTTTAGGGAACCACAAGGGCGAAAATGCGGAAAAGCTAGTTGACGATATGTTAGAAGCATATAAAAACTTGGGTTGCAGAATGTCGTTAAAATTCATTTCCTTCATTCTCACTTTTTTTTTCCATCTAATCCTTTAATTTAAATCTAAAAACGATTTCAAGGGCGTTGGGACACGACTATGCTAGGCGGTTACTGCTGGCGTTTAAAACGAGAAGATCATTCAAAGCACAAAAGATAAAGTTTTGCGATCTTTTGTGTTAAAACTTTTTATAACGTTTTTTTTTGTTTTTTCAACCTTAATGATAAAATTAAACTTGTTTAATGTGAAAAACAACACATTTTGACGGGTGATTTTTCGATTGAAAATGAGGCTGAATTTTTGATATTTATTCAAAATAAGCTGAAAAAATAAATATTTCTAATCAAATAAATTAGAGTGTATTTGGGACATCAAAAGGTAAGTTTTCACTAAATTTCGTGACAAAGTATTGTTTTTTGTAAGAGATAAAAATCAAAAACAGAAAATCTTGGTTTTTCGATTTATTCACATAAATTTTGAGGTTATATGTGAAAAAATTTTTAATACAAAACTTAGATCTTTTTATTACCTATAACTTTTTTCCATAGGACTTTGTTTTCTCGGAAATCGGGAAAACCCATTTGTTACCCTTAAATACCCATCCCCTTCCCGACCTCAGATCGCCCGTAAATTATTTTTCCTTTAATTTTTATAATAATCCCCTCCTTATCTAATGGGTTTCATCCTACTATAATTTATTTTCACTTTTCATTAATTTTAAAGGCTTCTGCACTGGCCTATATTTAGAATGATTGATGAAGAATTTTAAACACTGTTCAGGTTAAATTCAATAAATAAAACTAAAGTCAATTTACAAAATATTTATTTTGTTTGGTTTCTCATTCAACACATCCCGGAGATCATTCTGTACACTCTACATTCCAAATCATTTATTGCTCACAAATAATTAAATAATAATAATAAGTACAGATCAATTGTATCATATATATATACATGAGACACACGGACACAAACATCTGTCCGTCTGTTTGTGTCAACACTCAATCAACTACACACAATGTACAAAACTCATTTCTGTATGTCAGTCTGTTACTATTACGAATCAATAAATTTGTCCAAATTATTATAATACACACATATACATATATATTAAATCTTTTAAATCCTATCAATAATTTAAAATACATAGAAAATCAACTGAACGATAAGAACATCCAAAGAACGGTATCAACAAGAGATCATAAGGGTAATAATATATATAACAAGGTATCAATTATTGTTTGTTTCTGTCTGTATGTATTATGGCACCGGTCCTCATTGAGTCACCCGGAGTCTCTCCGGTGTCCGACATCTTCTCTATACATTATAATACACTACAACACTCACACTGTCCAGGCAGCTGTCGTTGTACAAAATTATAATAACTTAAAGCTACGTCCTGTTTCCTTACAATTATAATTGAACTCGTCTCACGTAAGTCGTAGAGCTTCGGCAGTTTGTGTGTGCGTTAATTATATAAACAGTATGTACACTGCTCACGGCGAGGGTCAGGGCCTCAGCAGACCGCGGGCCTTCGCTGTCAGTCGCCGGACCCGGCCTCGCGAGGAGATGGACACCGGCCCGGGCCCGGAGCCTCCCGAGCCGGCCCGCGGAGGCCCGTGTCCGTTGTAGTAGTCGTGGTCGTTGCTGGTGGTCGCCACGTGGTTGTTGTGGCTGTGGTTGTGGTTGTGGCGGTGTGACGGCAGTCTCTTGCTGATGGCGGCCACGGAGTCGTCTTCGCTGTCTTCGTTGTACCGCCGCGGGGAGCCGCGCCGTCGGAGAGGCCTCCGTGACGTTGAGCCCGACCGCGAGCCGGAGAGAGAGCCTCCTCGCGAGCCTGGACCGGAGCCCTGACGCTGTCTGGAACATTATAGAATAGATTGAACGTTACGAGGAAAGGTCGTATTATGAAAATAATAATAATTATTATTAAAATAAGTTTCTAAAAAAATAATATAAATTATTGAAACTTAAATTATTAATTATTGTTATTAACTCAAAATTAATTTAAAAATATGCTTACTTTTTATTTAATTTATTTTGCATTTAATATTTTCATTTAAATACAAATCAATTGTTATTGTTATAAAACTGTTAAATAATTTAAATTCTTTTTAATTATACAGGGTGACTGGTGAATTACTATCGATACTTGAGGACGTGATATTTGACGATCATATATGACAAAATAAAAATTAATATGACATAAATATTAATAAACTTCTAAGTAAAGTTAACCAAAAGTTATGTAATTAATTACGTATCGTGTGAACACCCTACAGATTAGGTATACACACACGCACACACACGCGTGCGGCGGCGTGGTGTTGTATCAGCACGCCACCGTACGCGTCCACACTTGGAACATGTCCACACTTTATTTATTTATACGGAAATTTGGTCAAAAATTAAGTACCATTTTTTTTTTACATAATTCGAATGAGAATCATGTACCGAGTATACTCCTTAAATATTGATAGTAATTGGGATTTTGAAAAAAAAAAAAGTATTGATTTTTTTTATGTATTTTAAAACTTTATTATTAATTATATTGGATTTTTAATGCAAAAAACTTGAAATAATATTTTTTAATTAATTATAAACAATTAAAAATTGATAAAATTCAAAAATATATCACGTGACTGTAAACGCGCCATGATTGGTCAGCATACTTGTGACGTCATAATGTTAAAGCAATTTCATAATAGTACAGTGTTTATGGCTATTATTTTTAACTTGATAAAAATATCTCAAATTTATTAGTGAAAAACGATTTGAAAAGTTTATTTCGACTATGTGAGATAAAGGATTTATAAAAGCAAAATCGGATAATATTCCTGATGTTGATATATTTATGATAACTAATTTTTTAAAAAATGACGTTCGGTTTAATTCTGCTGAAGTTCGAGGTGATAAGGCATCAAGGTAAGTCTGTTAAAAAATACTATTCTAAATGAAAATAAGTATTTATTCTCTATTAAATATAATTAATAATTATTTCATTAAATCATTATTAATAAAATGTTATTATAACATTATAAAAAACCAAAATAACATATACTTTAAAAATTTAAATGTAGTCTGATACAGAACCTAGAATGTTATAAAATTATGAAAATATCTATTAATTGAAGTCCAATTATTAGACAAACATACATATAGATTTACTATTTAATCGCTTTGAATTATCAATTAAAAATTTTTAATGCTACGATTCTAAAGGTTATGATTTGGAGCCCAGGTAAAAAAAATAATTATTGAACTACACTTATTCGATTTATACACTTAGATAAATAATAATTAATAACAATACTATTATGAATACTTACAACGAAATGATCTTCACAACAAAAAAAATGATTTTGTTTTTGAATAATCTCGATGCACTGCTTGAAACCATTTCTTTCGACGTTTTTCGTCTTGTGGAACATTTAAAAACATTTTTTCAGGAGTACAGAAACACTGTAGTCTTTGTACATAATGGTACAAAACTTTTGATTATTTAACAATGCCAACAGAATTTACTAGATAAAAACTCAAAACACTGTACTAATTATTATATCTCTGTATGCTACAATGAGCAAAAACTAACATTGTGACGTCACACGCGCTCGGATTTATTCGGGAGCTGTCGGCGGATCTTCGGTACTGAATTTAAAATTCAATTTTATTTTGAAATAACTTTTTAATTATTGCAAAAAAAAAATAAATAAAAATAGTTTTGTTATAAAACTTATATATGATCTTTCCATTTATCACAAAAAAAAAAATTAATTCAAAAACCCAATTCACCAGTCACCCTATATCAATTATATCCAAAGAAAATAATCTTGTGATAATTACTAATGTTTAATATATTTAGTGCATGCTGTGATTACCTATGAAAAGAAATACAATTATCAAGTGTGTTCAATTGTTAAGTATATAATATTTGTAATACTACATATTATCATTTCTGTTGGTGATCCTATAAAATAATTAAAGTATCTTCTTCTATATCTTGTACCTGTAGTGTAGAAGCGGCGCG